CAGACCATGTCGCTTATGAAGAAGACCACCACACCACGAAAGGTCAGAGAATCTGGAATTCAGGCCCCTGTCAAGCTCTACGACTCGGAGCTGTATATGCAGACATACATCAACCCGGATCCGTTTGCAGCCACCACCACAACAGATCCCTTTCTGGCCTCCACTATGTATCTGGACGAGCAGGCAGTGGACCGCCATCAGGCAGATTTTAAGAAGTGGCTGAATGCCCTGGTTTCTATACCCGCAGACCTGGATGCGGACTCAAATAGCAAGATAGACGTGGGAAAGCTGTTCAACGAGGTGCGTAACAAGGAGCTGGTGGTGGCTCCCACCAAGGAGGAGCAGTCCATGAACTACCTCACGAAGTATCGCCTGGAGACGCTGCGTCGGGCAGCTGTCGACCTGTTCTTTAGCGAGCAGATGCGCCTCCCCTGCTCCAAGGTGGCCGTGTATGTGAACAAACAAGCGCTGCGCATCCGCAGCGACCGCAATCTCCACCTGGACGTGGTCATGCAGCGCACCATCCTGGAGCTGCTACTTTGCTTCAACCCGCTTTGGCTGCGCCTTGGATTGGAAGTGGTCTTCGGCGAGAAGATCCAGATGCAGTCCAATCGAGACATTGTAGGCCTGAGCACCTTTATCCTCAATCGCTTGTTCCGGAACAAGTTCGAGGAGCAGAGGTACAGCAAAGCCTACACCCTCACCGAGGAGTACGCGGAGACCATCAAGAAGCACTCGCTGCAGAAGATCCTCTTCCTGCTGCTCTTCCTCGACCAGGCCAAGCAGAATCGAATCGTCAAACACAATCCCTGTCTGTTCGTTAAGAAGTCGCCGCACAAGGAAACCAGGGACATCCTGCTGCGCTTTTCCTCGGAACTGCTGGCCAACATTGGGGACATCACGCGGGAGTTGCGTCGCCTGGGCTACGTCCTGCAGCACAAACAGACTTTCTTGGACGAGTTCGACTATGCCTTCAACAACCTGGCTGTGGATTTACGAGATGGAGTGAGGCTAACCCGCGTCATGGAAGTCATTCTTCTGCGCGATGATCTTACACGGCAGCTGAGGGTGCCAGCTATTTCCCGCCTCCAGCGGATCTTCAATGTAAAGCTTGCTCTGGGAGCCCTGAGTGAGGCCAACTTCCAGCTGGGCGGAGACATCTCTGCCCCTGACATCGTGGACGGGCATCGCGAGAAAACGCTTTCGCTGCTCTGGCAGATTATCTACAAGTTCCGCTCGCCCAAGTTCCATGCAGCGGCCACCGTGCTGCAGAAATGGTGGCGTCGTCGCTGGCTTCATGTGGTCATCCAGCGGCGCATTCGCCATAAGGAGCTGATGCGTCGTCACCGCGCTGCCACTGTCATTCAGGCCGTGTTCCGAGGTCACCAGATGAGGAAGTACGCCAAGTTGTTTAAGTCGGAACGCACCCAGGCCGCCATAATCCTACAGAAGTTCACGCGTCGCTACTTGGCGCAAAAGCAGCTGTACCATAGCTATCACAGCATCATCACCATCCAGCGCTGGTGGCGGGCCCAACAAATGGGAAGGCAATGCCGCAGACAGTTCCTTCAGCTCCGCCAGGCGGCCATCTTCCTGCAGCTTATCTGGCGGCGCCGGCTCTTTGCTAAGAAGCTACTGGCGGCGGCGGCTACAGCCCGATTGCAGCGATCCCAAAAGCAACAGGCAGCTGCCAGCTACATCCAAATGCAGTGGCGAAGCCACCAGTTGGGCAAATCTCAGCGCCAACAGTTTCTGCGGCAGAGGGAGCTAATAATCTTTGTCCAGCGCAGGATGAGAGGCAAGTGGAGTATGATGAAACAAAGAAAGGAGTTCCTGCAGCTAAAACAGGCCACCATTAATATGCAACAACGCTGGCGAGCTCAGCTGGCGATGAGAAAGCATAGAGCTGACTATTTGTCCCTTCGCTCCAGTGTCCTTAAAGTTCAGGCTCAGAGGAGGGCCACACTCAAGATGAGAATCGAACGCAATAATTACCAAGCCCTCCGGAAGAGTGCAATCTGCTTCCAGCAGCGCCTAAGGGCCACCTGGAAAATGCGCGAGGAAAGGAAGAAGTATCTTCAGATTCGAGACTGCGCCATACTCATCCAAGCTCGCTATCGTCTGTTCCGAAAGATGACGAGGATCGCAAAGCTTACTTGAGAGCCCGCCAGTGCATCATAAATGTGCAGAGGCGCTGGCGAGCCACTTTACAGATGCGGCGAGAAAAAGAGAACTACCTACAGTTGCAATCCACCGCGAGATATATCCAAACCAAGTACCGGGCCAAGCGTCAAATGGAAAAACAAAGAGCCGAGTTCACACAACTAAAAAGGCTGCTTTGGTGGTCCAGCGGCGTCGGCGAGCTCTGCTGCAGATGCGAAAGGAGCGGCAGGAATATCTGCATCTACGCGAGATGACCATCAAGCTGCAACGCAGGTTCCATGCCCACAAGTCCATGAGGTTCATGCGTGCCAAGTACCGCGGCACCCAGGCGGCTGTGAGCTGTCTGCAGATGCATTGGCGGGGCCATCTTCTTAGGAAACGAGAGCGAAGCAGTTTTCTGGAGTTGCGCCAAGCTACTATCGCATTGCAGCGACGGTACCGAGCTCGTCTGGCCATGAAAAAGCAATTCAAGACCTATACCCAGCTTAAACAGGCAGCTATTACCATTCAAACCCGCTATAGAGCGAAGAAGGAGATGCAGAAGCAGGTTGCCCTATACCAAAAGCAAAGGGAAGCCATCATTAAATTGCAGCGAAGATACCGCGGGAAGTTGGAGATGAGGAAGCAGATGGGAGTTTACCAAAAGCATCGCCAGGCCATCATCCGCATTCAGAATTGGTGGCGCGGTGTGCGCGAAATGCGGGCTCTTAGGTCGGGCTATCGCAGGATTCGGCTCAGTTCATTGAGCATTCAGCGCAAGTGGCGGGCCACAGTGCAGGCTCGTCGCCAGCGGCAGATCTTCCTGGATACCATCCGCAAGGTGCGATTAATGCAGTCATTTATCAGATCCACTCTGCTGATGCGTGAGCAACGCAAGGCGTTCGAGATGAAACGGAATGCTGCTTTGGTGCTGCAACGCCGATTCCGTGCCCGTTGTGCCATGCTCAAAGCGCGACAAGATTACCAGCTAACTCAGTTCGCTGCCATCCTGGTGCAGCGCAGATTCCGTGCTAATCGAAGCATGAAGCAGGCGCGACAGGAGTTTGTCCAGCTGCGTACTCATGCAATTCATCTGCAGCAAAAGTTCCGGGGCAAGCGTCTGATGGTGGAGCAACGCAATTGTTTCCAACTGCTCCGTCGCTCCGTTCCGGACTTCCAGGCTCATGTTCGTGGCTTTTTGGCTCGCAAACGTTTTCAGGCCCTGATGACGCCTGAGATGATGGATCTAATCCGCCAAAAACGTGCCGCCAAGGTAATACAGAGATACTGGCGTGGCTATCAAACACGTAAGCGCCAGAGGCACCAGGGACTTTTGGCCATCCGACAGCGCATTGTCCAGCTGCGGCAGGAGGCAACAGCGGTAAACTCAGTGCGCTGCAAAGTCCAGGAGGCAGTACGATTTCTGCGAGGACGCTTTATTGCATCGGATGCACTAGCTGTCCTAAGTCGTTTAGGTGAGTATCTTTTTAGCCGTTTACTAGCCAGCTAATGACTTAACTAATCCCATCTTATAATCCCCGCAGATCGTCTGTCGCGCACTGTGCCACACCTTCTGATGTGGTGCTCGGAGTTCATGTCCACGTTTTGCTACGGAATCATGGCTCAGGCCATTCGCTCAGAGGTGGATAAGCAGCTTATCGAGCGCTGCAGCCGGATCATCCTGAATTTGGCCCGTTACAACAGCACCACAGTGAACACATTCCAGGAAGGGGGATTGGTGACGATTGCCCAAATGTTGTTACGCTGGTGCGACAAGGACAGTGAGATATTCAACACGTTGTGCACCCTCATTTGGGTATTCGCCCACTGTCCCAAGAAGCGAAAGGTATAGAGACTGAGGAAAGGTTAAGGTTGTAGGATATATAATAACATTTTACCCCTTTAATTTGCAGATCATTCACGACTACATGACCAACTCGGAGGCCATTTACATGGTGCGCGAAACCAAGAAGCTGGTTGCCCGCAAGGAGAAGATGAAGCAGAATGCCCGCAAGCCACCGCCCATGACCACCGGACGTTATCAAACCCAGAAGATGAACTTTACGCCGTGCTCCCTGCCCAGCCTGGAGCCAGACTTCGGCATCATCCGCTACAGCCCCTACACGTTCATCTCGTCCGTTTACGCCTTCGACACCATCCTGTGCAAGCTACAGATCGACATGTTTTAGTTTAGACTAGATTAGGATTCACTGCTAAATGTTAAATGTTTTAAACGTTTCTGTGTTGTGTTTGAAAATAGTAAGACAAATTGTTAGACCGAGTTAGTTTTACCAAGACAATCGACCATAAATTAAGTAAACTTAAGATAAGCTAAAGTGTATATGCTGTAAACGAATATTGTAACTGATAGTTGAGTAGCGAAACTAAGTTTATTGTTTTTATGAGGGACCACAAACTGAGCTAAGAAATAAAGAAGTCAATTGAAAGTCAAGTTGAACTGGATTTGCCTGCGCAGTGTTGCTGCGCCTATGTTTATTTGGGTAGGTATGTATTCACAAATCAATTACATATTTGTAATCATATAGTTAAATTAGTAATCACTTTGTCAAACACCTAGTTACATTGATATTAGTATGCAGTGGTTTGCCCGGTATTCGTGCTCCTCCGATTGCGACCACAACGAATGCCACTCGTGTCGCTCCTTTTGAGAGAGATTGCCCCAAGTATATAAGTTTAAATCCGCGTGTATATATTAATTAATGCCCCTTTAAAATGTACATACATATTTGGAGTACTGTAAATTGGATTGAATATGCATATATAATAGATTCGTATAACATATTATGTATTCTTCCTTGATAATTGCACACGCCAGTTTCATTCTCATACTGTCTTGGTTTTTTTTTGTGTTTTTTTGCAGTTTTATGTCAATTTGAGGCTGCCGTTAAACGTCTCGATTTAAAAACTAAAAATAAATACATTTGGCTCTAGCGAATTAATATAAATATTTGACATTTAGATTGACTCCTGAATGTGATTTAAGTGTGGAGAAGATTCTGAGAGCTTTTTTTAGCAAGTACTTCTTTGATAATTTTAGGTAGGATTAGGATGGGCTCCCTGACGAATGGCGCACGGCTGGATTTGGATTAGTGCGCCATCCGGGGAGGATTAGGCCCGGATTAACTTAACGCCGGCCCAGGCCAAAGTTGAAGGGTTGCGGGCGCGTCGTCCGCTTGTTCTGTCTGCCAGGTCGCACTGAAGGACCAAGGATTAAAGGGATATATAATATGCATGTTTTGAAGGATATGTGGACTCACCACCACGCTCGGCGGCCAAGTAGTTCGCTGGCGGCACTCTGTAGTCAACCTCATTGTCCTGATCGTAGTCGTAGTCGGCGCGCTTGCCCAGACCGAAGGAGTAGGGACGAGACCTTTTGCCCAGACCAAAGTTGTAGACCGGCAGGCGCTTCATGCCCGGTCCTCCGTTCGTGTACATGTAGGCCCGACGACCCAGACCGAAGGCGTACCGCTCCACCCGCTTATCGATGTTGTCGCCTCCGTTGTCGCCCATCTCATCGGCGGCCAGCAGGACATCGGCATCGCTGTCGCCGGCCACTGGACCACGCTGATCCTGGCCAATTACCGGGGAGCTGGCGATGTAGCCGACGCAGCAAACGGCCAGGAGGAGGAGGTGGGCGTGTAGGGAGTTCATTGCGATGGGGTGGTGGCTATGCTGGGGTGATGTGGATGTGGCACGTCTGGCTGACGCTGCTGCAAAGAAGTGGGTGCAAAAGACAAAGTGAGCAGGCGACGAATAGAATTTTAAGCGCTCGCTCCCCAATTCCCTGTGTGTCAAAGCGTTGCATACTTTGCGGCGACAGTTGTCGCCTTTCGTGAACATGGATGCCCGAGGATTAGGGTGGCTCAGTTTAGTGATAAGGGATATTGAGGAGTGGGAAAGTAGGAATTTCAAATATTTATTTTTAAATTGAAAATAATAAGTATATGTTAAATGCCTGTCTCGTTCTAATTCTTAGAACATTTTTTGAATATTTAAAGCTCTTTAAAAGAAAAGAAGAAAGATTAAATGCTTTGTTTCTTTCAATTGTAACGATAAAGAAGCTCCAAATTACCCTAGTAAATCAATTTACAATAACACAAATTAAATGATATGAAATTGTAATAGTGTCATTTAAGTGGATTCTGCTTGGGTAGACTATTAGTTCGAGTAGATAGCTTTAGATTATAATGGATAATTCTAATAAATATTATGATGCAGGTTATTCAAGAAGAATAACTTATTTTACCTATAATAACCTCCAAAGTACGAGTATATGCATAAGTAGTATTGGTTAGGACCTAAAGGAATTACCAAAAACTGTTGATAGTATAGGTATGTCAACTTATCACTTCTCTGAATCCCCACAAAACCCACCCTAATGCGAGCCCGTATGTGCCTTCGTTTACGAATATTTATGCAAAATAAAGAAACAAACAATCGACGAGGAATTTCCACAGAACACAAAATATGTCAACGGCAAACAAATGCCGACGCGTTGACAGCACGGCAATAGCAGCCCAGAAATGGCAGTGGCAAACAAACAGTCAACACAACCAAAAATAACGAAAGGAATAAAAATGGCCTGCAGAGCGCTAAAAAATGTGGCCAAAAGTTTGATGCCACTGCCGCCGGCAGTCTTGCAAAAGGTCCTTGGTCTTCGGAGCTTTGGTCTTTCATCCTTTGGCCAACTGGAATTGCAGCAGACGCGACGGGTTTTCTGCTGGCCTTGCAGGTCGAGTCGTAAACGCTAAGTTTGATCCGCGAAATGGAGTGGCTTAATTCCCGCCGCAGATGCCACAATTAGCCAAGAACAATTACCCCAAAATTTAAACCAGACTGTGGAGTGAAGTGTCCTGCTCGCAGGATTCCATTAGCCGAATGGCAGTGCCAGTGCCAGTCATTCGCAGCCATCAAAGCTTTTGTGGCGATGTCTGGAGATGTGGTGCCATCAATTGAAACAACTGGCCGAGTGGCGGTTGCATTTCCGCCGGAAAACTTTATAGTCTGGGCACGTAGGCGCTTAACCCTACACTCACTGTCCCGGGAAACTTGTTGTTTGGCTAGGCAAATTAACTTTGTGACAATTTTCCATTAGAAAAACGGCTTAAAGGCCTCTAACTTCGGCTCGCTGCCGTTCATAATTATGTGCAAACACAGAGGAAATCAATTAATTGAAGCCCACTCTTAGAGTCCAAATGTTGCGCATACGCACCGTGGTCGGTCATAAATTCGCTGGGTGCATGTGCAACAGGGCCACAAATCATGCAACAGGTTCACCAGGGACACCACACCGCAAAAGGCCAGTGGAGGAGCAAACTCCACAACCTCAGAGCCTCAAACCCCCGTGTTTGATTTACAATGGCTATGGCCCCATGGATGGCAGCTGTGCATTTTCCACGCAGGACAATAAAAGCAATGACTGCGGCACTGCAAAAGGCAATGGCCACGAGATAATAGGCGGAAAATCGTCACATTTGTTAGACTTTATCAACCGCAGCGCGACGACAAAACGAGGAGCAAACCCCAGAGAACCAATCGTAAATCTGATGTGGGGGCAAAACAAGTTTTGTGAAAAGTGTCAACACCTTTCACTATTATTTCCATTCCTGCAATAAAATCTCGTTTGTCGCGGCGAAACGCACAGCAACGCCCTTGGCCGCAAATGAGATTCAGGCATTATCTGTTTATGAATTTACGCCACTTTTGGCCATAACTCTTTCGGTTCGCTGCTGGCCTTTTCTCATATCCGCAGCGGCGATTAGTTTTGACCGCCAAGCGAAAAGTGCAACGGAAATTCAAAGAAGGACCGCCCGTCGTCTTCCATCCCGGCCTAATTAAGTTTGAAAGTTGGAAAACTTTCCCAAGCTGCCGAAGCGTAGACCATCGCAACAACATGGAATCCAAAGGGATATAAGCAAATTTCAGCTTTAGCAGGGAGCAGGAGTCAAAGCAATTTCAGCTGATGCGGCAAATTAGACGGACAGATCCCTCAGGTGGGGAAAATAATGCCAAAGCTAAAGCTGAACCTCCAAATGAGCGAAAAATTAGCTGTGTGCAATTGAAAAGCTTTTTTAAATTGAAAGCCCTGCCAGGGGCAGACCCCCGTCTGTTTTCACCTTTACCCTCTAAGCCCGCCTAATTAAGTTACGTTCAGGTAATGAAGTGGCTAACTTCTTTACGTCAATTTATGGCGGTTAGGCAATAAAAAGCTAGAACTCATTGTATTGGAACCCTTAGGATGCCCCCGTTTGTTTTGTTTTTAAATGTGCCGGACCCTTGTTCTCTGTGGTCCTGGTCACCCCACTTCCTTGTTTTTCTTTAATTTGACATGTGTATCAATTCAGCAAGTAAACATAAACCCTGACCCTGGAGCGGCGAATCATCATCATCACCCCCAGTCGCCATCCCCATCTGGAAGCCCATAACTTGCCCCAACATCAATCAACAATTGTCCTCCGATTTGTTTATTTAATATTCTCGTCCTTGGCTTTTGGGTTTTCTCTATGTGTGATCCCATTTTGGCCGCCCTGCCCTGCATTTCTTTTATTTTTTCCTCTCGGGCGCTTGTTATTTATTTAATTACAATTTGATTGAGGCTTGTCTTTTGTCTTCTAGCAGCATCTCTGCGATTCCCTGAGATTTGTTGATGCTGACTCTGTTGCCATATGTCAATTGTTGCCAGAGGCGTTTTATATAATCAAATTGGGTTTTTGTCTTCTCGCTAAGCGATTGAAAACGAATTGAATTCGAGGGGTTTGCTTAGATCAAAAACGAGTACAAATTGCATTGAGTTCTTTTGCATACTTTTTGGGGCAAATGTGCTGATTGAGTTTGGCCTTTTTTTGGAATGCGAAAATATTCATTCGCGGGTTGTTTGGGGAATTGTATTTGTAGAAATATTATTTCTTGAACAAATGTTTTATGAAAATGTTGGCTTAGGTTCAAAAGAGTCACTCAAGTTTTGTGTTCTAAAGTGATTCATACGGTAAATATTTAAAAACAATCTACTGATGTATGCTATTTTTAAACATTTAAAGATATTTTAGACTTTGGTTATTTATGTTTTATTAGTTTTCCTAAACCAAAAAAAGGATTTTCTGGGCAAGCGTATTACAAACCCTAAGCGTAAAACGAATCATTTTGAAAAAGATTTAATTCTGTCGTTTGGAAAAAAGGTTTTTCTAAAAATCACTTGAATTTGTTGTGTTTTAAAAAAGTAAGAAAAAAATATCCAGGGTGCCACAGAAATCGTAATAGTTGATTTCGGGTAGAATTTATGTTAATATAAACATGAATTCCACCCGAGTTCAGGAGGTTTTCATGAAGATTAGTTATTAATATTATTATATACTTCAAAATGCACTCTCTGAGACCCAGACAAAACTATATTTATAAATTTTTCAACTGCTTATTCAATCACAACTTACAGCGAAATCCAAAGCCGCTGAAAATTCACAGACCGGATTGTAAATAACCGCGATGCGACTATCGCAGGATCGATTCGGGAATAACACTTTAGAACTCAGAAACAGGACACGCGGTGCACTTGGATGTCTGGAAATCCGCGGAGTGGTTCGGCTGCTGCTCCTGTTGCACGTTGACAGATCAGATGTCGGTTATGTTTTGAATCCGCATCCGATGGCGCTCGGCTTCTTATATGAGCGTTTTGCGCGCCCTTATCAACGAACCACCCACACGACAGCCGCCAGAAGTGACGACAATGTGTGGTGAGTTCTGCCCTGGATTCTCACCACCCCAGAGGGGTGGCTTTTGGGTCGTGTTGGGGGTTCCCCATCCCCGTCAGGAATGTAACAAGTGGCGGTGGCCATGCGGCTTTTCCGGAAAAGCCAACAGGCCATTCCTCGAGGCTGGTGAAACAGACTCCGACCGAGAAGGTGAGGAAATCTGCAATTCGAGAATGCACCAAGGATGCATGCAAGTATGCTAAGTACGTCAGTATGATGAATTGCGATGTTGCAATGTTGGGGTTCATTAGGTGAAGGTCTCACATACTCCCACAGAATACCTTCCAGCCACTACCCATTTCAGCGGAAAATTGCCAGCTGACTGGGTGCGCATTACTCAAATGCAGGACATTTGTTTTCCAGCGCCTTCGGCCCTTCTTTGTGGGGAATCCTTAGCACACAACTGACAACTCGAATGACATGCAACCCCGGCCATATCCCAATAACCCCCTTCTTCGGCTGTAACATTTCAAAAGCGAAACGTCAGGAAGTTTTATGCGGAATGCCAGCAACTATTTCACAACGCCGCCTTCGCGCCAGAAGGCATAACATTTAACATTTATCCTGCTCTGGACTCCGATTTCTTTGTGGGCTACAAATGCCTGCTTAAGACCGATTCGAGGTACTTTGTCGTTTCACTGGATTTGCTTTGAGATTTATGCGGGATCAGGGGAGGTTAAAGAAAGAGCGAGAAATTCTTTTGTATACGGGGTCGTGAGTTTAGAATTAAAAAATTCTAAAGATTTATATCCTTTTTAAAAACTAGGTATTCTCTATTCCTCTTCCGATTCCTGACATTTAGCCATGTTTCCAATCAATCTACTTACGTTACTCCAATACGTTTTCAAAGCATTCCTGGCAATTACCCAGACGTAGGGAGACAGCCCTGGGAAATAACCATTACCCAAGGAATCCCGCTGAGACGATGCTTAGTTGTAAATAGTTTAATTACGAATAAAAGCAAAAATCGCTGGCTAATTGGAAAATATTGAGCAAATAAATACATCGATTTGTGGCCATTGGCTGAAATGGCCGGGGTGCACGGGTCGTATACGCAACGCTAAGAGCACAGCGGGGAACTGAGGGAACTCGCCGAAATTGCATTGAGATTTGTGGCGCAATTACAATTTGTCCTAGTAGTTTATACGTTTTTATGGCTTTTCTGGGGAAAAATGGCGGCTAATTGTGTCCATGACGTCAGTCGTCATTAGACGGGCATTAGGTTCCTGTAAAAGCCATCGGCATCGGCATCGGCATCATCGCGATACCTTGGCCAATAACTGCAGCTGCAATTGCTGGGGACGTCAAGGTAAATGGCTATATGGCTCTATGGATTGGGTGATTTCGGGTATTTGGTTGTGCGCGTGCTTTTCATACTCACCACGGGCCATCGATCATAAATCAGGCTGATAGCAGGGCCTAATGACATGGCTCGCAACATCAAAACATGGCCAAAGCGTGTCGTGGACGGGGCCAATCTCGATGGCCTGACACTGCCGCGTCATCGCACCGGAACAGGTTAATAAATTTCCCAGCGGTCTAATCGCAGGCCAAGCAGCTCATTTGGGTATTCGGCATCTGGCCTGCACATATGGCCAAAAGGAGGAGGATATACATATGCGACTCGATTCGGTTTCTGTCCACTTTTCCAGAAGACAAGTTCAGCGATAAATCATCATCGCTGGCAGGCGGTAGGCAAAATAAGGCAAAACAAAGACACAAAATTAAACCTGCAGTTGGCCGGGCCAAAAAAAAAAATGGGGAAAAAAACCAAAAACGAGGCTCCCAACCAGTTTAGCCCACACCTATCCAACACACAGAGAGATACTAACTTCCCACCGAAAAAATGCATAAGCGAAAACATAAAAATAACCAAAGAAAACATTTTTGTAGTTGTAGACCAACGAACAAAAATATAACCAAAACAACAATAAAAAAATGGAAAATCACGATTCTTATGCAGGTTTTCGGAGATTTTTCCCACAACAAGTTTTCGTTTGGGGTTTTTTCATCTCTTTTAATTGATTCTGCGCATGAGAAAAACGCAGTGCAATGTGCACTTGAGATCCAGATGAACTTATGTGGCGTCAGATATCAGCAAACCTGGCCAACAACAATGGCAGCGGCAAGTAGAAGCCACTAACAGGCAGCATAAATATGCATTTATAATTAGGAGGTGGCCAGAGGGCACCGACGACCGGCAGAGTCGAAAGCTGAGAAGATTTACGGCCCAGACGAGCGAGACACGTCTTTTGGCCAGATGCGTACTCGAGAATCAGATCTCAGGAGGGAAGTGGGTGGCATGCAGATGGCCAAAATCGCACCTGGATGCTGCACACGCTTGCCTTGTGGTTAAACTATAGTTATTAAAAAGGTTAAAATTTAGGTTTAAAAAATATTACCATTTCCTAAAAAGAACACGAATTAAATATCATAATTTAAAATCTCAATTTAAAAATTATATATCTTTACTCAGCTTGCATATAACTAAGAAAGTAATAAGTCCGTTTTTACTTAAATAAAATACAAATAGAAAATGATTCTTAAATAAAATTCCAAAAAGAGTTTAACAACTTTCTTTAGAATATTTATGACTCCTTAAGAACTTGTTTCCTTTGTTTGTTATTACCAAGTTACCAAAAAACATTTTTATTTTGGTAAAATGGTTTACAATAATTTACACGATTAATAAGTTTTCCTATCTTGGAATGGGTGGTAGGTCGAAAATGCTGTTCAGTACCAGAAGCAACCCCAGCCTTTGTTTTTCAAACCATTGTGTTATCAGCTATTTTTGGAAACTTATGGCTAGCACTATTAATTTAGCCACAACTGTTGCACTTGCCTGCTACACACATACTGCGTACGTATGTAAGTTTCTGCAATACGTATACGTAAATATAAGTAAGTACGCCGGGAAGAGTCGTAAAGTCGGCAAAGAATGTTGCTCGCTCTTCCGCTGCAGCTTCTACTCTCTCTCTCTCTTTCCCGATGACACACTTTCCGACATATTTAAGTAGGTGAGCAAACGATCACCTGCACTTGTGTGAGTGTGTGTGTGTGTGCTGGTGTTTGTTTGTTTGCTGGCACTCCAAGCACAAACATACGTTCTCCATTCTACGCTTCGCTGCATTGAAATTTCTTTTTTCGCTTTCTTTTCGATCAGAGCACTTGCGCTCTTTCTCTTTCCTTTCCATTCCCTCGCTCTCGCTCGCTATCGTTTGTTCTGTACTCTCTCCCGCTCTGCTGACGTCAGCAGCGACTGCGGTGTTATATGTTATATGGGTCACCGTGACTTTTGGGTTCTTGGAGAAAACTGGTAGTACGAGTCTTCTGCTTCTTCTTCTGCTTCTGGCTGAGGAAAGTGACGATCGATCGAAAGCGAATGCGTTTGTTTGTCTCTTTTTTGCTCTTTCTTCGCTCTCTCCAGTTGGAAATTCTGTTGGTTCTTTTGGGGTCAGGTTCAGGCTGTTAGAAAGGCATTTTCTTCTGGTCTTTAATGCTTTTGGGCGCTCACACTCAACAATTATGTAAAAGCATGACCAACAACCAAAAAAAAGAGCTAAACAAACAAACAAACTACAATATAAAGTCTGCTGCAAAAGGTGAATGAAACTTAATGAATGCCAGCAACAACAATAAACAGGTGAGTCGCTGCATTGCTTAGTGATTTTCACTTGCTGGCGCTGCTGATTTTGTTGTTGTTTTTGTTGGGAGCGTGCCTGTGGAATTCGCAAATTGTTATGAGTAAAACTACAACAAAAACAACGCTCCACTGAAAGAGAAATAAGACAAAAATAAAGAAATACACACAAAGACGACGTAAAGATTACACAAGCGCAGCGTCGTCAATTTGAGAGGGGGTGGGCGGGGTGGCTCGGGGGGAGGGCATTAGAAACAACACAACAACACTCTTCGCTGCAATCAAGAAAGCTCTCACAAGAGCAGCGACTGCGACTGCGGCAGAGGCAGCGAGTGCGCAGAGAGCCACGATCAGCTGCAGAGGGAGCACTGAGCGAAATTAGGAATGATCTTTTATTTGATTATTTTAAGCAGGGTTAAAAAGGCTCTTTATTTTCTATAAAAAAATACCAGTCTATTAAATACAATTCAAATAGTTTAAAAAATATTTAAATAAAATTGTTGACACTGGCTTAATTAATTTCTAACTCAAAAGTCCTAGAAATTCATGCCTTTAGTGATTATTAAAACTTGAACGAACCGAAAAGTATGCTTTAAAAAATGTATAAAGTCTAAACATTGTGCTGGCAATTGACATTTGATCTTTATTATTAGTATTCTTGATATTCGTTATTTTCCCTTTTCTCTCCGTGTAGAGAAATTTATCATTTCACTGCAGCAACCCGCTGCAGCAGCGTCGTCGGCAGCGCCAGCGACAGCAAGCTCTCTCTCAACAGCTGGTGATCGCAGCGCTCTCTTGTTTGGCAGCTCTCGCTCTGCCGACGCCGGCGTCGCTGCCGCTGCCTCTGCCGTCTGAGGCCTGGCCACAAAAACAACACCACAGCTTTTCGAAATTAGTTCTAGTGAGTCTGTGAAAGTGTGAGCGACTGCGAGGCGCGATCAATTGGCAAACAACCGCAAGCGGATCAACTGCTCCACACGCCACGCCGAACACCGTTGAATATCGCCGAACATATCGCCCAATATAAAGAGCGGCCTGGAACTGGACCACACCACCCACTAGCGACCACATCACGAACACAAACACACATCACGTGCAACATGTCGCATCAGTGCAGCTGCGGTCGCGACCTCAACAACAACTACGTCTCCTACACGAACGCCTACGCCAATGCGAACGCCTCCTTGGACCGCGAGGCGGCCACCAGCGGCAAGTCCTCCGGCCCGCCGAGGGCCCAGCTGACGGCCAAGGTGATGTTCGGCACGGTGGGCGCCATCAAGGAGCTGCGCGACAAGGAGCAGCAGCAGCAGCAGCGGCAGGCGACACGGGCGGGCGAGCGGCGCAACTGAGTGCGGTGGCGGGGGCGGTCCAAGGGGCGGCCCAAAGGGGCGGGACGAACGGCCGCTGGAGCGGTCGAGTGCTGTGCTGTGGGTTGTCGGCGGGGATCTCTGGCTGATCGGAAGGAGGATGACACGGATATTTGGATTAAACATAAAGAATTCGCGGAACTCCGAGGATCTGATTGGATCACAAAGAATTCGCGCCAGGTGATTCGGTTAAAAACATAAAGAATTCGCGCAAGTCTAAGGATCTAGGTGATTGGAATTAATCGTAATGAATTCGTGGAACTCCCGAGATTCTCTGGATAATCCAAATAGCTCGAATCGTTCGGGGTACTGATAACCCGAATGGGCGATCCCCGGATCACGTTAGAGGCTTCAAGTGTTGGCAGGGGACAGGGCAATCTGTGTAACGACATTCCTTCTCAACAAAAACTATCCAAAAAACAAAAAAAAACCAAGTACATCACATATTTATACACCTTTTTTTGATCTGCCACACTATCTCTAACTCTCTCTATCTCCTGTTAGCTTCAGCAGATTTCTATAATTCAATGTAAATTGTTTATTACATATATTTATACATATACTACATAGTGCAATACTTTAGCTATACACAAACACACACACTCACACACGTTAGCTATAAGTTTGTTTTATTTTGTAAGCGCACACGCATACACTCACTCATTTTACAATGTTGTTTAATTTTGTTTTGTTGTTCACGCGCTCTGCGATTTTTGGGCTGCGAGTCTGGAGACTTCCAGGTGCTACCAGCAGCTCGAAACGCAAGGCACGTAGCCCACTCTACACACCCCCTCACCATATAAACCATATAAATATAACTACACATATGAGTAATCTTTAATGCCTATACTACTGTTACAACTCCTAATAATCATATTGTATATGCCGCGCGGAGAGAGGAAACCGAAACGAAACGAAATGAAAAACAAAACTTTAAATTATTCCTCCAAATGGGATGGTGTTTGCTCAAGTGATTTGTACTAAAAATGGAAGCGAAATACATGGAACCGCATTAATGGAATCATTGGAGTGCTGCAAATGGCAAATGTTTCGAGAGAGAATTTAGTTTAGAGAGCGGAGCATCTACAATATATTTATTATACCTATAAAATAATAATAAAATGTATGTCTACCCGTACCACATCTATTTATAGAGCTAATCCCAACAAAGGCGAATAAAAATCGAACTTTTAATAAACTGAAAACGAAAACTTCGGGGTCTCGGCAGATTGGCGATTTCAATTACTCCAACAATGGGACTGCAGATTGTGTGTGGGGGCGGTGGCAAACCCTTTTCTTCGCCGGTCGTCTGCGTGTGAAAGTAAGAAATGAGAGGCAGAAAAAACAACATTCAAATAAATTATAAATTACAATAAAGCAAGGGGGAAACGTAAAATATGCGAAACGAAAGCGAAGTCTCCGGCCAGAAGGCAGCGCCACAGGCAACCTCGTGTATTATATTGTTGTTCCAGCGATTCTTTTCGTATTCTGCCATCGTCTCGCACTCTTTATCGCCCTCCCTCTCTCTCTTCTAATTATGAAGCACTCCGGGTCGCGGGTCCGCGGGTCTCTGTGTGTGCGTGAGCGGAGAACACTCGCTGGTTCTTACGCTCGTAACAGTGACCCAGTCTCGGTCTTGTACACACATAGGTATAGCTTGGAAAGAGTCTCTGCCCGGCACTCCGCTGTCGTCATCGGCGGACCCAGGCGTTCCATTTCGGTTCCATTTCGGATCCACTTGCCGCCCACGCCGCCCCCTCTCCACGCCCTCGAGGGACGTCGTCGCTTAGCGGATCAAAGTCAGAGCTGTTTTGGGCTTTATTACGTTTTCAAGGGGTACTAGACAGTACCAACCCTTTAAAGTAAATATTATTACTTTATATTGATATTTCGAGATTATAACTTTATTAATAAAAGTTTTATTTATAGGAAATTTTTATATTTTGTATCGGCGTTATATTCTTATGACATTTATTTCATGAATCGAAAGAATTTTCCTATAGCTGTCATATTTTTTTTTTTTTTTTTTTTTTTTTTTTTTTTTTTTTTTTTTTTTTTTTTAATTTTTCCTATACTGTCATATAACAAAATATTATTTATTATATGATAATATTCCGAGAACTTACCACTTTATGGTCAATATAAGGTGTCTGGTTTTAGAAAGTTGGTATGTTATTATAAAATTATAATGCCCTATATTTTCCTGCCCATTTTTTCCATGAAAATCCAAAGACTTTTTCCTATAGCTGTCATAGTTACAATATCTTCGAGTACCAGAGTTCGGCTTTGTGCACTTCCTCTCCCATTTTCATTCTTATCCGCTATTTGGAGGGCGCTCACAGTTCAATTGAATCCAATTGACCAAGTGCGTGGCTCTTGTCAAGCAAATACATTTGCTTACGTATACTTAATTTACGAGGCGTATACGTAATGCAACGCCCACCAGTGCACCGGTCGTCAGCAGTGAAAGATTATCCAGTCGCGGTATGGGAATAAAAATGGAAATGGAAATGCTAATTGAGCCCATTTAGAGTGCTCTCCTCTTCTGGGCGACTGCATTATACTTCATTGCCGCTTACCTTTGACTTTGTCCCTTGGCAATTGCAGCAGCTGCGACGCAGTTGGTGATGTGGTGATGATCCAACTCTACCGCTTACCGGGCTTCTCGACCGATTTCATCACCGATTCAGATCTGATAAAATAAGTGTAAGTGCAGCTAAGAGCGACGAGAATCCGGGCATTATTCCAAGGCATGAGGGGAATTTTACACTCATGAGTAACCACTTTGGAATTTTTACTTCTCAGTCGAAGAAATAACTACCTTATATTATTTCGAATTTAAGAATAGAATATTATAGTGGGTGTTCATATTCTTTAAAGTATAATTCTGATTTCCAGGAAGTTTAAGAAATAAAAAAGAATACTTAACAGACTATTTGAATGCCCACGCAAATATATTTTCTTTCTAATTTCAGAGACGCCCTCGTCCGAACAAAAAGCACCTACAAATATTCAACCGTTTGAAAAAGTTTTGAGCTTAGACGATATAGAAAATAGGCCTAGTTAAAACTAGGCAATATTTTTACAGATCTGATATTGAATACTCGTCTCCTTAAGTTAAATATCAACGTCTGACAAGATATTCCCCGTGCTTAGAACTTTCTTACTTAACTGATATACCTTTCTTCCTTGGTGTACTATGATCTATATATGCATAGTCCGTATGTGTCCCTCGAGACACTCGACTATCGATGTAAAAACTCTTTGCCAACGGCACTATTTCTATTTCCATTTCTATTTTAAGACATTTTGCATTGCTGATGTCATTTGTTTTCTATGCATATTCTGCTTTTTGTCGAGTTCTGTTCGGTCTAACTATACCTAGAGTTTTGCTCGATTTCCATCTTATTGCGATCGTTATTGTTGTCACTTGACGGGGGGTGATACATCAACTGCCTAGTTTATGAGGTGCAATTTTTATGGCTGCCCTCCGATCCCAATGTGGCTAAGAGTAAAAGCATCTCTCGCGCGCCCGCCGGTAACAACATTTCTTTGTTGATTATTTGTATTTTTTTTTTTTTTGATTTTGTCGAGTGTGCTTTTTTCACTTTTTCTTGCATGCGCTTGTGGCAAGAACTTTCTCTTCTAATTGAAAGCAGTTCGATGGCGGCGGGCGATAAGCGAACGTGGAAGGGGAAGCGGTCCGCTAAGCAAAGCATCCAGCTGGGCGTCTTTTGATGAACCGGCTGCGGCGATGGATTGACGTGGATGTGGATGTGGATGTGGATGTGGATGTGGATGTGGATGTGGATGTGGAGCTGGTTGGAAGCCCCAATCTGAATGGTCTTGCTTGGCGGAGTGGCCAGTGGACAGTGGAGCGGATGAATGGCGATCGGCGCATAGTGAGACATTTCTTATGTTTCTGCTTTAATGGGAACTTTATGCAGCCGCAAGGCATTTTATCTCTTTCGCTTCGATTTGAATACGGAAAGAGGCGACGAAGATAAGCGCCAGCCAGTTGAAAATAAATAATAAATATTTAAAAGTAGAAGCTCTTGGGATGATGATGATGATGGGGCGGGGTGCTGGTAAAAAACTGCTACTGCGCGGGCAGTGAATGAAAGCCAGCGGAGAACTGGTCGCTTGCCTGGAAGACTTTTGGTCTTGGCGCTGGTGCTTTTTCATGTTTTTTTTTTATCTTCGAGTTGGTTTTTTACTTCTTTTTTTTTTTGGTGAAGCTGTGGCACGGCTCGGGCTTTGCGGCTCGGCGTCTGTGTTTCTTTGGCTTCTAATGGCAGCCGTGAGGTGAGAATCGATTTAGTTCGGTTTACGACGATCCCAGATACAAACGCGAAAAAGTTTCTTTTCGGTGTGTGTTGTGCGGCGGACCCCGAAAAGTACAAAAAACATTGCCAGGAGTCGCCCCGCAGGGAAATAGGAGCTGCCACACACCCATAAAAAACAATCAGAGAACTACAAAAAACGAACCGCTCGTGAAAGTTCCCGGCTAATTGCGGCAGGTGTTAATCACGGCAATTACGAACTACAAATTGCGCACCGCACTTGGGGTAAATCAATTTCCGTTTTTGCGCAAAAGATCATCCAACAAATTGATTATTATTAATGGCCGAGTGCCACAGTTGACTAAGTGAGCGTGTCTTGAAGTTACAGCCAAAAGCAGCCGAAAGCCGGTGGTCTGCAAAATTTCTCTAAGCTAGGTGAGCCCGCGATTTCCTGGCGGCTATTATTGTTAAAATATAAGTAGGTAGCTTGGAGGTGTGGACCCTTGTACGAGGAAGCGGAAAAGGCCTTATGCAAGGCAAACTCTTAGGCCTAGTTGCACAATTTTTGGAAACATAAATGTAGTGACTATGAGCCAGTGGATAGGGGTATTTTGAAAATCTTGATAAAAATATTGGTTAAAAAAAGTATCATAGGTTCAGTCATACAATATCTGTTTATTTTTGGTTCGGAAAAAAGTATCATAAGTTGAATCATTGATTCTTTATATTTGCATATCGGTTTTTTTTGATCATATTGTTAGTATATCGACATCTGTTTATTTTTCATTCCAATTAGAAAGGGGTTCGGAAAAAAGAATTACAAGTACAAAACATAGGGATATATTATTTTTGGTTCCAAGTAGTTTGCTCTTTATTTTATCTTAGAACTTTCCTATTTTTTGTAACACCTCCAATTTTTGCCCATCTGGTCAGTCTATTAACATTATTGGACATGCTAAGGCAGTGTATAAATTGTAGGTAGCAGTTACCGCTATAAAAAATTTATTACATAGACCACTGGCAATCTTGACGCCTGTTATGCGGTCATTGAAACATATAAAGTACTCCGCATTGCATCCAAATAAGTAAAGTAAAACAAGCTAGGTAAGCCTGAAAAACAACACAAAAACCATCAGGCGATGAAAGAGAGAATGAAAACTTGAGCAAATTAAGTGATTAACTTTTAATACGCTTAATCTCAAAAATAATTCCAAGAACTTAATCTTTTCTTACTCCAACATCATTTTATCAACAACTAGTGACTTAATATTTTTAAAAATGATCCTCTTAATTTTGGCATGACTCATCGAAAATAAATTTCAGCACTGATTAAGTCAATCAACTCTGGGCTAAAAAGCGTATTCAAATAACAACAAGCGCTAAAATCACTCGGCCAAAACAAAATGAAATAAATAAAACTGCAGAAAAAGTACAGAGTAAAAGCAAAAAAAAAGAGAGGAAAAGTGAATAATATGGTTAGGCGATAATAAGTTGCAGTTGAAGTTAATTTTGTATTATTGTAATTAGCAGTGGGCAGCTTAAAAAAGGCCAAATTAAATAATCGCAAGTTTTTCGCTGTTATTTTTTCGTGCCCCTGCCGTTTTTGATGTTATATGTTCACAGTTGATGTTGCTGATGTAATCGCATCGTCTGAATCACGAAAGAAGCAACAGCAGCAATTATGCCTCGATATTGGCGACCCAAAGCGACGTAACTCTATCGATAATTATGTTTAATTCGCCCCTTATCGAGTCCAAACTGTTTCTTTGCAACTTTTACACCCAAGGGGTAGATTTTTAAACGATTTGTGATTTATGGGACTCAGGCAATCGGCATCCAATTAACTCATTACCAAGTCGAAACTGATTACACATAATCCTCAGAGTCTGTTCTTCTTATTCAAGTAGGGGTTTCAAATTATTATTCATATTAAAATTTTAATAGAGATTCAACAGCCATGTAGCAAATTAGTATGGATCGTCACTGTTTAAGACCTATGGCACTCGGTAAATTTTAGGATTTATTATAAAAGTATGCAACCTAAACATGAGTTTATATACAAAATATACAATTTTTGAAGCTGTACACCTTTTTTTTTATAAATTTTTAAATATAACCTTAAACCAAATAGTTTGCAACCGAAAAATATTTTTATCGATCTTACTATCCTAAGGGTTTCTAGGATTGGAATTAAAAAAGAAATTATTTCATGATGTCCCTAACAATTTTTTGAGCATAAAAAAAAATACCATTCGATATTTTTTTAATTTTTAAAACTTAAACTCATAAAACACTATTCAAATTTGACCCCTTAAGAAAACCATTGATTTATAGCCCGAACCCACTGACACCATTGTGCCTTCCCCGGATTCCTTGGGCCACCTTTGGTCGCACTGAACTTGACAGCGAATAAACCATTCCAGAAGTCGCCGCTGGAATGTTGCAGCCATCACTTCTGGTGGCGTTGCTGCTCCTGCTGGTGCACTTGGAAATGCCAGCGGCAAGCCGCCCACCAAGGAGCTGCCCCGTCCGCTGATCCGCTGCACGGCCAAGAGGAGGAGGAGGAGCTGCATCCCGGAACTGGAGCCATGGCGGCATTCCAGGGGATGCGGAATGGACGCTCGCGGCGTCCCACCCTGATGGATGTGGCCTTGCAGCAGAGTGTGCGGCAGGGACTCGATGCCATGGCCGAGCTATATGGTCGCATTCAGCCGGAGATGTTGCGCAATGGTGGGTAGCTATATCCATACTACTCATTCCTAACCCTGAATCAAATCCTCGAAATCCTCGGAATACCCCGCTAAAGGCCAGACCCTGCAGGACAACCATCCGGCAGCCATGTTGGCCCGCTTCAATGCCCCCACCACGGACTCGGAGCGCCGGGAGATGGCCGCCTATGCCACCATCGCAGCAGCCAAGGCCTTTCGCAAAAAGTAAGTTCCAGGGGGTTCCATGGGTGGGTGTGGAAATGGAGGTGGGTATGGTGATATACACATGCGGCTTGTGGCGGCCATAAGTTCATCAGCCGCAAATACGTGGCTATGACATATGAAAAAAGTTATTGGCAAAAGCGATGCGCATGATTAAAAATCAAAGTGGGTTCGTGGGTGGGCAAACAGTTGGCATCACTAGGGTTGACTTATTCAATACCCTAAAATATAATATAGATTCTTTGTCTCTATCTGGGAGAAACAACATGAATTCAGTTTTATTTTAACTCAGTAAAGAAAGTGAAGTCCAAAGATAATTCTACGCTTTCAGTTTTATTGGGCAACATTTCTACTTCTTTGAGAGGCACTTTCTGAAATCAAATAATGTCTGCTGTGAAGTGTGGGGAATTTCTGAGATTCGTGGAATATTTTACCAACGTTGCCAACAAAAATAGCACCCACGCCCCCGAGCACCCACGATAAGTGGGCATGGTCACTCTCGAGTTTCTGCCCCTGGGCAATCTAATGCAAAAGAGGCAACCACTATGCACAACAAATAAAGAGACAAAGGCAAAAAGTAAGCAATATTATCGAGTTGAGGATACCTCCCCCTTTGTCCACAATTACCACCGGAACTTTCTCGCTTGATTAACGAGTTCTACGGCATCCATGGCAGCGGCTTTGGCGGCAGCAGAGCTAATGAGTTGGAGCTGGGAATCCGAATGGCCTGGAAGTGGGCTCAAGTGGAAGTGACTCCCCCGGAGAGTCCTCCCCAGCAAATATCGAATCGTAGCCAAAAACGATGGGAGTCCAACTGCGATTGCTCATGACTAAGAGTGAACTTTCACTTTGACATTGAAATGCCGCATAATTGGCAGATCCCAAATCCAAACTCAATACCATATCCGACGATATGCACAGAAAAAAGTTTCTAATACCAAAAAATTAAAGGGAAAAAATATTCTATTCGATTTAAAAAAATGTCATATAATGAGTCGGGAAGCCAAGGAAATCTCTAGAGATTTTATTCACTTACATATGGCCTAAAAGTATGCATCAATATTCTATATCAGGAATACCAACCAAAAAAGGTTTTACATTTTAAAGCCTACTTTAGGCGCCGTTTTAAGAGATTTTTATAAATTGAGATTAACCAATATAGATCTGGTTTTTTCCACTGTATGCGCATTGAGGATAGGTGAAGGTAAATAAAAGCGGTCCGGGTTAAACGACCTCTTTGGTCGAGCAGCGGAAATGGCAGAAGCCACCAACTCTATCTCCAGCTCCAACTACATTTCCATCTCCGTTTTCATCGCCGATTGCAAGCAGTTTTTCCAGTTTTTCCGCTGGCAGAGTTTTCACTTTTCACGAGCTGTGAAAATCCATGCGATTTTCCACACAAAAAAACGCGTCGAGCCGAGAACTTTCACCCGGCGGACGTCGAAAAGGCAATTCACCCAACTCAGGTGAATTCGACTCAGGTGCAATGAGCTCTGACCGCGTCGAATGCAAAGCTGCCCGAAATCGCATTTATGTAATTGCAATCAATGGGGCGACAAGGAATGTCGAGACATCGTCCCAAAAGAAAAAAAAAACAGACAATTGCCAGACAAAAGATGCTGACCATTAATGGAAAATGCCTTTTGGTCCATTCGATTGTGGACAATCAAATTACGAAATGGCCAACATGTTTGGTTTAATTAAATATCAACAAATGCCGTCAATGGTCGACTGATGATGATGATCGTTGCCGATGGGGCTCGTTAATGGTGCCAAAAGCAGCATTTAGCCAAATTAGAAGCCAAAGAAAGCGACAGCGTTAGAAAAATATATCACATAGGTATAGCTACATATATATAGCCGAACATCTGGGGAGCTTCAGCTTCAGCTTACATTCGGCATTCGCAATTTGATTACATCAAGTCGTCGGTCGACGGCAACAAAAAAAACAGGGAAAGGCAAAGCTTCAGCTGCTGCGACGTTGACTGAGGCAGCGGCGGTACAACTGATACGCTGGCGAAGAAAAAAACCAACAAAAAAAACAGAAACTAAAAGGCGACTTTCGTTTTCTACCAGCCAATTCGGCCTCAAGCTCCCCAAGTCATACGAAAGTTGAGTATTGTGCTTTTTTTCTCGGCTGTTTTGAGAGGGCATTGAACTGTCGTAGCGCTGAAAGAAATAAAAAACCCACGTTGCGGCTGCGCTTTTTGCGTCGAGATTGCGTATACGCCGCGTGAACTCAAGGCAAAGGGCGGTTGCCCCTTTAATGGGCTTTTCTTCGAATAAAACAATGCTTAATACGAAAATTGTGCAGTGGATTGATAACTGCACACAAAGAGCTTGGGAAAATATGCATTTCCACTTTCACCTGCTGAAATGTTGACGACAAGCTGGAAAACTGGAAAAACTTGCCGAAACGATTATACACTTGCGCATCCCCTTGGCGACCATTGAAAATGGCATTCAATCATGGCTAATTTACTTGTATATTCGTGTGTAGAAAAGTGAAAACTCCTAGAAGATTGATCTAAAGACAGCAGGAAATTACATGCAGGCAGGAAGTCGAGATGGCCAACCCATCTAATCTGGGCGAGAGAAAGTAGAAACGTCGATTGGTCTTTTCATCTTAGATCAATTGGTGGGAAAAGCAAAAGCTATTAAAAGCAATCAAGAAACTGTACTAACTTTTTTTAAACTATAATTAATCTTTAAGTCTACTCCGTCGTAACTAATGAATTATATTAATAGTACCATGATTCTGAGATTCAATTCTCAAATATTGAAACAAATCATGGTATTATCAATTTAATTACATAGTTCAGCAATGATTCTGTGTTTTAATGCTTAAATATTGAACCAAAGAATTGTGGTATTCTTTACACTTAAAAATCAAGTGATTTCATAAGCTTGTCTATCTGCATTACAGTTAAAATTTTTGATCTTTTAACCCGCTTAAAGAGAATTCGTAAAGAGATTAAATTTTGAACCTTAAGTCCGGGTTTGCAGATATCAGTATACATGTTTCTGTCAGATAATATACTATTTAAATTTAATTCTAACTAATTACATTTTTAGTTCATATAAAAAGGATAGTTATAGAAGAGTAACTTTTGTTTTAATTCAAAATTAAATAATATTATTTTCCAAGTAAAAGTTTCCAAGAATAATGTAGTTGGTTTCTTTGAAATACTTACTGGTTAGCCCATTCGGAACATAAACCATATGGTATACAAGTTCCATAAAAAGTGACCCTATATCGCCGACTTCTGCTTACCCATAAACGCACTTTGCAGTCATTAAAGCGGCATGTTTCATGACCAAGTCATTATACCCCTCAAGATTGAAACGAAATGAAAATTGACGAAAAAAGAGTTGCTAATAAACGCGGCAAATGGAAAGCAAAAGCGGGTAAATTAAGCCAGCGGCTGCTCAGTGATTTCTTACGCGTTTTCCCGCCTCAATCTCACACAACGGCACTCGGTGGGCTTAATTCGATGGTGGATCCCATTTGGAGTCACCACCACCGAGTGGCGAACTCGTTTCCACCGACTTCGCAGTCGAGCGTTTTATAAAAAGAAGCCGGCGGCCCGAACAGTCGGCACTCGATCTCGAAATTTGAGCGCAGCCATGTCGTGTGGTCGTCCTCACCTGGTGGCGGGATGATGGTCCCGGGAGGTCCTGGCACCTTCATCCCCCTGCCCAGCACTGCATCCGTCCATCAGCCTCGATCTCTTTGCTCTCCGGCAGCTTCCAGCACATCGATGAACTGGCCCGCCAGTCGCACACGCAGCGAATCTCCCTGAGACGTACCGCCCTGGAGGGCCTCTGTCCCCCGCGGGATCCGCCGCCCTGCATGCCCGCCTCGGAGCGGTACCGCACCCACGACGGCACCTGCAACAACAAGCGCCGGCCCAGGTGGGGAGCCGCACAGATGCCCTTCAACCGCTTCCTCCCGCCGGAGTACGGCGATGGCGTGGACACGGTCAGGAGCTCCGCCGACGGCAGCACCTTATCCTCGTCCCGCTTCGTCAGCCTCCTGGTGCACGGAGCCAGGGAGGGAGAGGCCCCGCTCACCCTGATGATCGCCCAGTGGGGTCAGATGCTCGACCACGACATGACCTCCACGGCCCAGCCTCGGTAAGTCAAGTTATTAAGAGTAAGGAGGGTTCGGTATTCAATAATTCATTCTAGGCACAAAACAAATAACCGATCTCTAAATTATATCTATATCTCTACTCTCGGCACGATATTAGTTTTAGAACAGAATATCATCTTGTAACTTTGAAAAGAACCCCAACTCTTCCGAAGACGATCCTTTAAATGATATTATAAATTTATCTACCTATCCTAGAGCAACGATATATTATCTTAAAAATCCTAACAACACCTTGTAACTTTAAACTTGTAACTTGTTTATTGACAGAAGATAAGTTTTTAAATTTCATATATCATTCTTTACTTATCATTACCTAATTATTTAAAATCCTAACCAATTTTTATATAATCTATCCATACTATATTCCCCTTTTTTTCATTCCTAGCTCCATCAATGGTTCCATTCCCAGTTGCTGTGGCGGCAAGGACTTCCATCCAGCCTGTTTTCCGATCAAAGTGCCGCTGGACGATCCTTGGTTGGCGCCACTAAAGGTGCGCTGTCTGGAGTTCCTGCGGTCGGCTCCTGCCCAGAGACGCGACTGCGTGCTCTCCTGGCGGGAGCAGACCAATCAGGTTACCTCCTACATCGACGCCTCGCCGATTTATTCGAACAGCGCCAAGTCCTCGGACAATGCGAGAGTCTTTCCGGCACGGCCTGCTCGTCTATGGACGTGGTGATCCCGCCGAGGATGTGTGCCAACGGGGGCCATGGCCACCAAGTGCATTCGATCCGGCGATGGACGAAGTGGAGAGCAGCCGGGACTGCTGGCCATGCACCACGTTTGGGTGGGAGAGCACAACCGGATCGCTCTCGAGCTGAGCGAACTGAATCCCCATTGGAGCGATGAGAAGGTGTACCAGGAGACGCGGCGCATTGTGGGTGCCATGTTCCAGCACATTACCTTCCGGGAGTTCCTGCCCGTCATCCTGGGCAAGGAGGTGGCCAAGCTCTTGACCTGGAACTGATGCCCTCGGGCTACTACGAACGTTATAGTTCCAAGGTGAATCCCACGGTGGCCAACGCCTTCGCAGCTGCCGCCTTTCGGTTTGGACACTCGCTGGTCCAGAACACCTACATGAGATGCGATCGTCACCACAATGTGATTAATAATAGTGAGTTTGGGGAAGGATATCCTAATTGATTGGTTAATAATCATAATTATCTTCCTAAAGATGTCAGTCTGCATGAGGAGTTCCAGCGTGGTGATATCGGCTCGGCGGGTTCACTACATAGACTTCTGCGTGGCCTGGCCTCCCAGCGTGCTCTAAAAAGGGATGAGTTCATCACCCCCGAGCTGACCAATCACCTCTTCCAAACTCCTGGTTTTCCATTTGGCTTAGACCTGGCTGCCATCAACATCCAGAGGGGCAGGGACCATGGAATTGCTCCCTACAGTGCTTGGCGAGTACCCTGTGGTCTCAGTCCCATCCTCAGCTGGGATGACTTTGGTAAGTTAAGAGCAAATTCTTACAGAATCTATATTTTAAAAGATTTTCAACTGGATTTTATAATATTAAGAGCCAATCCTCATGATTCAAATATTATTTCATTTTTATTACACCAAACATCAGACCTATGGCAGTTCATAACTGAACAGCATTGTTTGGGCAAGAAGGACCACGTGTCCCCCAAAAACAGGTTATTGAAAGAAACGATGTACTGTGTCTTTGGCAATATTGCTTAGAACATTATCCATTAACAACGATTTTACATAGTATCCACAAACCCCATTTTTTATATAATATTTTGAGAAAGTTTTCCAAATGATTTCGTTTAATATATTTTAAGCACTAGTCATATAATACTTAACTTCAAGACTTTCGAAAATTATAATCTTTAGTTCTGGGAAAATGTAATGAGATGATATTTAATAACAGGTAGTTGGATAAGTTGGGAAAATTCAACACTATTTATTGATGCACATGCTTACATGAAGATGAGTTATTGCTTATTAGTGAGTCATATGTATTTCCCATTTTGTGTTAACCTGAATTTACCTTTTCAATTTTTTTAGCCAACGTGGTGGGTCCGGAGTCCGCAAACGCATTGGCCACGCCTACCGCAGCGTGCATGACATCGATCTGTTTGTGGGCGGCATTGCAGAACGTCCTGTGGTGGGGGTCTGGTGGGACCGACCTTTGCCTGCATCATCGCCCAGCAGTTCAGCAATGCCAGGCGAGGGGATCGCTTTTGGTACGAGAACGGCGGCTTCGAGAGTCCTTCACCCCCGCCCAACTGCACTCCCTGCGTCGCGTGTCCCTTGCACAGGTCCTCTGCCGCACCGTGGGTGGTGGCACCCTCCAGCCCCACATCTTCATTCCGGCCGAATTCGAGGACAACGAGCGACAGACCTGCGGAGTTGGCGCCCTATCCCCCATTGATCTGAGTCCCTGGTTGGAGCAGGACCCCTTCCACAATCAACAGGTTACCGATCATGTGTTTACCATCGGTCAGCCGGAATTGGGTTCGGTGCAGGTCATCAAGGAGGACAAAGCAGGCTTCTCGAACCGAGTGAGACCCATTAAACCACAGGTGGAGATTAGCGCCTCCTCAGTAAGCGGGTTCCACCGGCCACCCACCAGTGGAAACTCCAGCCAAGTTAGTGACAAACTTGACATTAGACGTAAGACAGTGACGACCAAGAACACCAACAATAACAGACAGACCGCCCGACTAGGAAGACCCAAAATGGTGTTAACAACAAACTAGACAAGTCACCAAAAATAACAATTAACATCAAGAGCGTGAATGTGAGAAGACCGGAGGGATCGGGTCCCAAGAGAAGGGTGGTCATCAACAATGTGCCTGTAGAGTTACGAAGTTCGGTAGGGGGTAACGAAACTGATACAAAGACGGAAACGGGAATTGGAACTTTCACGGGAGAGGAAAACGAAGACGTGTTTAACGAGGACGACGAACTGGACACGGAGGACGTAATTGAAGTAAGAGCCAACAGGCATGACCCTTCAAAGACTACGGAGACTGACCAGAACAACTCAACTGAAACTGACTCAACGATAACTGCATTACAGAAGAACGAAAAAGACACCTCTAACAAACCAATTGGACAGTCTACAGAAGCACCCAAAACGGAAAGACGTGACTCCAGAGACCTGAAACAACAGAAGGGCACGAAGACACTGGACCAGACTGGTAACTCTCGACTAGAAGACCTTCAACGGAATCGGACCTTCAACGAAAAGGACTTTCAGACTATCTCCACCGTGAGCCTGGACCGCACCTCGGGGCAGACAAAGGCGCCCAAGATCAGTAAACCCACGAAAATGGACGTCGAACTGGACAGTACAAGAACAGACCACTCTACAAAGTCGCAAAAAGTAGTGGATACGGAGACGGAAACGGGAATGGGAAATTGACGGGGGACGAAAACGACTATGAATTCAATGAGGCGAGCAACTGGACATGGATATGGTGGAAGTAAGACCCAACAGGAATGACTTTTCACAGACTACCGAGACAGACCAGAACACAGCCGAAACTGACTCAACGACAACTACATTGAAGAAGAACGAAAAAGACACCTCTAACAGACCACTTGGACAGTCTACAGAAGCACCCAAAACGGAAAGACGTGACTCCAGAGACCTGAAACAGCAGGAGGACGCAAAGACACTGGACCAGACTGGTGACTCTCGACTACTACACCTTCAACTGAATCGGACCTTTAACGGAAAGGACTCTCAGACTAGCTCCACCGTGAGCCTCGACCACACCACGCGACAGACAAAGGCGCCCGAGATCGGTAGGCCCACGAAAAGGGCCGTTGAACTGAGACAGTACAAGAACAGACCACTCTACGAAAGACCCCAGACCCATACGAAGACAGAAATAGAACGAGAACTGTGACGGGGGACGAAAACAAGGATGGCTTAAACGAGGACGTGGAACTGGACATGGACGACGTTGTGGAAGTAAGAGCCAATAGGAATGACCCTTCAAAGACTACCGAGACAGACCTGAACACAACTGAAACTGACTCAACGACAACTACATTGAAGAAGAACGAAAAAGACACCTCTAGCAAACCACTTGGACTGTCTACAGAAGCACACAGAACGGAAAGACGTGACTCCAGTGAACTGAAACAACAGAAGGACACGAAGACACTGGACTATACTGGTGACTCTCGACTAGAAGACCTTCAACGGAATCGGACCTTCAACGAAAAGGACTTTCAGACTAGCTCCACCGTGAGCCTGGACCGCACCACGCGACAGACAAAGGCACCCAAGATTAAACCCACAAAAAGGGCCATCGAACTGAGACAGTACCGGACAGACCCAAAAAAGTGGTGGATATGGAGACGGAAACGGGAATGGGAACGTTGACGGGAGAGGAAAACGAGGACGAGGAACTGGACATGGACGACGTGGTGGAAGTAAAGTCAACAGGGATGACCCTTCAAAGACTACCGAGACAGACCTGAACACAACTGAAACTGACTCAACGACATTACATTGATGGAGAACGAAAAAGACACCTCTAACAAACAACTTGGACAGTCTACAGAAGCACCCAAAACGGAAAGACGTGACTCCAGAGACCTAAACAACAGAAGGGACAAAGACACTGGACCAGACTGGTGACTCTCGACTACTACACCTTCAACTGAATCGGACCTTCAACGAAAAGGACTTCAGACTAGCTCCACCGTGAGCCTGGACCGCACCACGCGACAGACAAAGGCGCCCAAGATCAGTAAACCCACGAAAAGGGCCGTCGAACGGAGACAGTACCAGAACAGACCGCTCTACGAGAGGCTCCAGACACATACGAAGACGAAATGGGAACTTTGACGGGGGAGGAAAACAAGGACGAGTTCAATGAGGACGAGGAACTGGACATGGACGACGTGGTGGAAGTAAGAACCAATAGGATGGCCCTTCAAAGACTACCGACACAGACCTGAACGCAACTGAAACTGACTCAACGACAACTACATTGAAGAAGAACGAAAAAGACACCTCTAACAGACCACTTGGACAGTCTACAGAAGCACCCAAACGGAAAGACGTGACGCCAGAGGCCTGAAACAACAGAAGGAGACAAAGACACTGGACCAGACTGGTGACTCTCGACTACTACACCTTCAACGGAATCGGACCTTTAACGGAAAGGACTTTCAGACCAGCTCGACCTTGAGCTTAGACCGGTTTACGAGACAGACAAAGGCGCCCAAGATCAGTAAACCTACGAAAAGGGCCGTCGAACTGAGACAGTACCAGAACGGACCGCTTACGAAAGGCCCCAGAAAGTGGTGGTCAACGGACCGAACGCCGACCAGTACGAGATTGAGATAACATACGACAGACGAACAAGAATCCCGGATCACGACCCTCGACGACCGACTACGCGGAATACACGACTGCCCACAAACCTTACTACAACTCGAACTACGCCCCGCACTACGTGGACTATACCAGCACTACGCCCATTCCACTGCCAAGCTATGGTTACCACCAACCTCTCTCCGAGATTACCAATCAGGGTGTGAGGACCAAGCCACCGACCATTATCTATCTGAACGACAACGACGACAGACGGACAACGACCCGGGCACCGAACATCTTCCAGAACTTTCTGACCTTCGCCACGAACAGTTTTAATCCTTTGGGCCACCGACGACCCATGCCCACGACTCCATCCCCCATCTCCCAGAGCCACAAGGAGCGACCCCAGTTCGAGAACCATGTTGTTCACAGTCCCATCAGTAACTCACACATACTGAGCGGTGGTTCTGCCTCCTTCTCACCGCGACCGGGTTCGGTGCTCTCGTATCCGGTGGCCACCGGTACTCAGATTGGCGCAAATCCTGTTCCGGTTTTCTGCACGCCTCCAGCAGTGCGGTGAGTTCGGGTAACTTTGGCAGTATCTCCGGAGTGGCCACTGCTAATGGAGCAGACAGCACTTTTAGCTTTAACATACGACCACGTCCAATCCCGAACTGGATCGGTTGTAAGCTCTTATCCAAGACCTTCTTCAAATCAGGGGGGAATATTAGGAGGAGGAGGGGGATCCTACAGACCCGACTACGTACCTGCCCAGAGCGAATTGTACTACGACAGAGAACTGAGCACTGACCAAAATCCCAGTCCCTTCTCCGGATCCAGTTCCGCCCTTAGACCACAACCACAGACATTCTACGGACGGACACCCGAACTCAAGGAGGCGGGCACAACAAAACAACAACGAACTGACCCAACGGAGCACAAATGTACCTACAGGACTACGACTATGTGAGCAGGACTCTGTCCAACTTGACCACCGACGAAAGTCATCCAACTGAAGAGGACTCGGACTACGTGTACGACGAAGACTTACCAGCAATGACCTGGACCAGACGGAGACCCGGAAAGAGACGGACCCAACCGAATTTTCACCAAAAAGTTTGACATGGACGGTACATGCGACCACAACTGATGCGGGACTTGACCCAGAACTCGACGGGAACCAACGTGACCTCACTGGATGACAACTACGTAATGCCCATGCTAGAGAACAGGACGCAGACAGGTTACGTGACCGAGGTGCCCAAGCCCATGCTGTCCACCTCCAGCCGGACTGTGACGAACAGCAAGGTGACTGTCTTTCCGGACAGCCTGGGGAAACAGTTGGGCAATGATATCCTCGCAGACGAGACGGACGATTACATGGACGGGAACTCGGAGGCGCGGCTAAAGGCCCAGCGGCTGAAGCAACTGGCCAGCGTGGCTTTCGCACCCATTACAGTACTGACGAAACCGGACAGACCGGACAACTGGGTGATCTACAACAAGGCCAGCGAGGAACCTCCCTACCACAACCCCCGACAGTCAATATGGATGTGGCGCCCACCGGAGAGGTGCCCACACCCATTAAAAACTTCAACAACGCCTGGCTAAAGCAGGATCTTAAGGTTCAGCCGGAACTGAAAGTTTCCGTATCGAATATTAATACAGAAGATGTGCCAACCAGATCGGAATCCTCTAAAGAGGCGAGGACGGAAACAACTGTGGCAGCAGCGGCCAGTAACTAGAAATGCCAAATTAGCCCTAGATTACCTACTTATTTATTTCTACTTTAAAAGCATAAATTAAAATCAAACTATTACTCAAAGTTCGCATACTCTTTCCTTAATTATCTGACTAACTAACTAATTGAAAATACTAATATATAAAATTAAATCATTCTCAGTATCACTGATAGGAACAATTTTAGAACACACCACTTATTCCGAGTTAATTAGTGTACGAATTTTTAGAATAATGAAACGAACTTTCGAGTATAACTTTTAGTTTCCGTCATCCTGAGGAGCGATTTCGTCAGCACAGACACAGCTGTTGGATTTCATATTTTACAGTGCCAAAAATGTAACAATTCTTGGTTTGTACTTTATTATAATGCAGACTAAAACTAGTTTATCCGCTCAGAGAACACACACACGAATGCTTAACTAAGTAAGTGCCTCCCGACCTCTGGGAAGGGGCGACCCTGTTTCGATATTAACTTCTAGTTCGGCATGTCCAGTTTGTGGTATCTTTTTTGGCGCAACCATTGCTGTGCTAAATAGTGTAAACGTAATTGGGCTACCAATGTAATCAACAGTATTATCAACATCATCATCAATTACGTACAAGTACATGTATAGTTATGTGTATAATAAATTATGCTTGTCACCGATCGGCCTCTATGCGTGTTAGGTATAAAACGACTAAGTATAACAAAAATAATGTACACTTTAAGCTACAACACTTTGGGGTATTTGCATATTGAATTGCATTACTTGAACATCCTAGCCGCAAGCATATATTGCAACGCTCTACTTAAAGTACATCTTCGATGCTTCCGCCATAAATGATTTAATAATTCGCTATTCTTGGCAATTCATCTAATTAACCTCTGCTCCTTCGATCCTTCCTCTAGCTTTTGTTATTTACAATCGTCGGCGATTCTCCTCCGGTTCTGGTGGTTCTCAGTACGTCGCGTAAATGCAGTTTTGAGTTGGTTTCAGTTTGGCTGGGGATTGTGCGTTCTTCACCAGCGGATCTGGTGTTTGTACTGCTCGTCCACCGCAATGCGCTTGATGGTCTCGTAACCTAGGATAATGCTGAATGAGAAGGCTGCCGACTGCACCAGGCGGGCGGACAGGCCCTTGAAGAAGCAATTCAGCTTCTCCTCCTGCCACAGCTCCCGGAAAGCAACGCTCATCGAGTCCAAACGGTGGACCTACGGGAAGACATTGTTGGTATAGATTAGGCATGAGTGACAAGCATTTTTAATAATAGATAAGAGAGCGTCGAGACATCATAAGAATTACGACATCTTTATAAAAATTGCAATAAAGAACTGGTTTTACAATCTGAATTTTGATTTTTGTGTTAAAGGCGCAGTTAAGGATGAAAGTGTGCATTTAAATTAATATGAATATAAATAAATCAATTGAGATGCATTGATAGGATAATTTGGTATTTAAATTTAAACCAAATTTTTTAAGTTATAACCGATTTGGTTATGATTATATCTTAGTGATTTCATTATATGAAAGATTGTGTAGTTTAAGCTATAGCAAAAATGGCGGGAAACTCACCTGCAGACGGGCGCGCACTATATCTAATGGATTGGTTAGTATTGTCGTTGTGAAGCCACCCAGGCTGCCGGCCACGCACTGGATAAGCAAATGGGACACCCAAACGGGGCAGATGCGGAACAGTTCGTCTGCGAATAGAATCCCAAATTTAATTAATCTAATCTCCATTATAACCGGAAGACTTACCCTGATAGAGGTGATAGAACGCCCACCACATGGCCGAATTAGGTACATAGGCCATCAGGCTGGCGGTGTAGCCCCGGTAAAAGCCCCGGACGCCATCGCGTCGCATTATCTCCCTGCCAATGTCCATGGAAATGTGCAGGCGACTGCGTCCGGGCCACGACTTGATGCCCAACGGATTGATGTCGCCTTTGGAGCCGGCATGGGCCGACATACCGAGCACCATGGCGTGTTGCGATATTACGTCGAAAGGAACTATGATGGTCTGGCCCACCAGCGAGGCACAGCCGCCGCCGGCGAGGGCCTTCATTCGATGACCGGCACCCATGTCGTTCAGCACATGGCGCACGCCCTCGTAGGTGCTAATGTAAAAGACGCCGGACACTATTTGCACGGAAGAATCCAGAAACCTCTATACAGACCGGGCACTCCCTCCGACTTGTAGATCTTCATGGCGCAATCTATCATGCCCTTGTAGACATCGCTCTTGTGCTGCACCTGCAGTTGCGTCTTGATCACAGTGAGCGGGAAAAGGCAGCAACGCACCGAAAAGGAGCTCAGCATGGAGAGGGGAAAAAACTTTGTTTTGTTCATCATGTCCCACTCGATGGTGCGGATGTACGGGGATCCGTCGGCTCCTACTGCTCCCCCTTCTCCGGTGGGTGCCACCGCGAGGCGGGATGTGCTGGTACTGGTGCTTTCCGCCATCGCTGCTACCTGCTTAGGATGAACCTGCTGCTCCCTCGACTCCTGGTGGACTGAGTGTGTCCGAAGAGGATCGTTTGCATGCGTGGAAGCTTCGGGGTGATGTGGGCTTCCTTCACAGCCTGGTGCGCTGCTGTCTCTGGAGGCATTCGACCTGCATGACTCTAGATCGGTTCCTTTGTTACCTCGGTTATTGTTGCCGTGTATTTACATATATATCTGGGGAATACAAAGCATCATCAGTACATTGACGCAACTCGAACGCATACGCACGAAAATCGTCCCCAAGGTCGTGAGACAGATACGCATTTCGAGGGTCCGCCCGTGACCTTTGCTCCGCCGCCAAGGCCAAGGGAATCCGGCGGAGTGGACAACGATTCGGCGGCTATCTAATCTAAATATATCTTGGCGCCCCAACCGATTCGGAGTTGTTATTATATAATGCGCAGACACCTGACTGAGTGGCCTCCAAATCCCCCACCACTCCCCTTGCAAAAAGCACACACGGACGTAAACAAACTCTGAGCAGGGAGTCTGGACGGGATTCCTTCTGCCTTGAACACTGGTGGAGCGGCAGCTGGTCTCCCAGGTGATTTCGCGGTCACTTACCTATGACTGTATGGTTGTTTGGATATCACATAATAAATCTGATGAGAATGAAAATTGCAATAAGACTCTTATTATAAGAGAGATTTTTTGGGAGTACAAAGTGTGGCCGGAGGATTGGAAACAATGCATCTGAAAATGCCTCAAGTGCGGGCGTAATACTCTGATAAGCCCTTAGCCTGGACTCGAACCAGTAAGAAGTGCTTAATTGTTTTCAGTCAGAATGCCTAGTATATTGGGTTCTTATTTTAACTAATTATTAATAATAAATATTGATATTAATAATAAATATTTTTGATGCAAATGTGATTCTTAACATAATAGAATCTTATAAAAAGCATAGTTGCCTTTTAAAGTTAGGGATATTTTTGCTATTACGTGATAAATTTGGTTATTTTTCTAGTTTGAATATTTGTTTTTAAAACCACCAAATAAAAAAAGACTTTTAAGATACCCTTATTAATATTAAAATAATATTAGGAAAATACTTTTTGTTTATTTTAATATTTTCTAACTACTTAAAAAAAAACACATTTAGAATTCATAAAATTATGATTTGGTAATGTTTTTTTTTCCTAAAAGTATTTTAGATCATATTCTAAATATATTTACCAATTTAAATTTACCAAATCTTTGTTAAGGCAATAGTTTAAACTAGATTAAATCCTTTAACTACATAACGGTTACCTGTAATCCTTCATTTCAAATTTGAAAAGTTCTGTCAAACTTTCGACCTTTGACATTTCCTCCTAATTACGCCCACGCCGTCGAGCACCCATTGGTCCTTCCCCTTCCAAACGAGCAACCAATCAGTCAAAAGAGGGGGCGTGACGCTCCTGCGCAGTGCATCCTGCCCAGCATCCCGGAGCTTCAACCCTTAAAAGGTGACTCCGGGCGCAAGCTGTCGTCCTAGCATCCCGGCCAGGTGGCCTAACCAGTCACCACGGAAACTCGAAGCCAACTGCACACGGGCAACGGAATGCGCGCTGATCAGCGACAAGTGAAAGCCATCGAGCTCTGAATAATTGAGGACTATTGATGTCCAGCAGCCAGGTGAAATCCTATTAGTGAAAATCCAACAAGTTCAAGAGTGCATCCGGACCACCGATCAATACCCATCCGCAATCCATGGATACAGCCAAGTTGGTAAGATTCGCTTAAAGCTTTTATTTCTGCTGCCTCGGACATAAATAGGGCTTAAACTAGGGGTCCTTGGAGGAGGAAGTGGTTTTAGCCATAGCTCAGGGTGTAGCCCATGTTCTCCATCAGGGTCTCCTTGATGGCCGGCTGGAGGGCCCGCTGCATGTAGGTGGTCAGGAGACCGCGCACTCCCATGGAGAAGAGCTTCTCCAGCTCGTGGGACATGGCCTCGCCCACCAGCTCCTCGCGATCTCCACTGGGACTCGAACCGCCTCCAAAGATATCCGCAAAGGCACGGGCATCCGGCTCCACCAGCTGCTGCAGCTGCTCATCCTCGAAGTGCAGCACATCCTCGCTGAAGGTCATCTGGTCCTCAATTTCTCCTCCTTGGCAAACCGCCGGCGGCGTCTTCTCTTCTTGCTGAACTGCCGCCGGTAGAAGTTGTCGCCATGGACATCGATGAACTCACCCGAATCCTGGGCCTGGCTATCACTGCCCAGCTCCAGGCTGTGATCCCGATCCCTCTGCGGACTGGCATTTTGACCCCTTCGGATGTCATAGCCCGGCTTCTGGGAATCCTGGGTGTGATGATACTTGCCCCATCTCTGTGGCCTTTTACTGCCCAGAATCACATGCGGTTCGCCGAGTTCCACATCCGGAGCATTGCCGAATCTCCGCTTGGAGTTCTGACGCAGGCGAATGCCAGTGGGTCCCTGGCAGCCGTGGGCAAACACCGATATGAATCCAGGCTCTGCGAAGTGGGAATCCGTTCGCACCGAAGCTGCTCCCAATCTCCTGGACTGCTCATAGTTCGAGGATGGCCCCGATCCGGAATCATAGCCCAGTGGAACTGTTCGGAATTCGATGCCCGCATGTCGAAGTCTCAAAATCATGTGACATTTTCCTCCCATCGGTTGCATCACCACCTTTCCGCTCAGCGTGAGATCCGGAAAGATCAGCCGGGTGTCCAGCGTGGAGTTCTCCGTGCTGAACTTGCACTTGTCGATCTCCACCCACCGGTTGGCGGACTTGGCCGGCGGCACTCGCACCTTGAGATCCTCCACATCCACCCGTGAAATGGCCAGTTTGTGGGGCTGCCTGTGTTGCTGCTGCAGCTTCTCTTGGTTCACCGCCAGCAAATCCTCCAGCTCCAGAGCTCCGGAGCTACTGGAATCAGAGAAGGGGTAGGCCTGTCCATTTTTGTGGAGCAGCTTGGCATGGTAGCCACGTCCCGTGTTGTAACCACCACCCACATTGTAGAAGTCCTCCTCCGGTTCGATGTGCTGGCCGTAGAAACTGTGGTACAGCTGGTAGGGACTCTGGGGCGGGGGCTCCCACATGGCCCTGAGTAGGAGGAGGAGGAGGAGCTCTTGGTCTGGACACTGCGACGTCGCATGTGCTCCAAGGCGTTCTCCAGGCGATTGGAGCAGCGGTGTGGCAACTGATACGGCTGGCAGAGGGTCACTGGTGGGTTATCGATTAGTAGGATTGATTAGGATGAAGTGGTGGTCACTTACCCTGCAGCACAGCCCACATGGACAGCAGAAAGTGCAGCCAATTTAAGTCCCGGCTCACGTTTCTGGCATGGCGGTAAAGCACTCATGGAGCGGGGCGCTACACTTTTTACAGGATATAAATTCAAGGCCCTAATAAGCTATACTTTCACTGAACTATAACCCACTTAAATGTTTTCAACAATTTTGTCACCAACGTTTTCCACAAATTTTTAAAATAATATGCAATTATTCTCATTGAAACCTGGTCTTCAAGATCTGACTCAGAGTATTTAAAGAATCTTTTAGGCTATAATCACTTTATTTGTAGATTATAACCACTTCCTTTAAGAAATCTTTATTAACGATGGGTAACTCTCCGAAATTTTACTTTTGGTATAAAAATTATGTTCCAACTTTGTTAAGCAATCTGGTGATATTTTTGTGTAGAAGAATCCCTTGGCTGGCTGGAAACACCTCCGAACGCGACCGCAGCTGAACCGAAAATGCGAGGCCCAAGCGGAGCGAGAAACTCGGCTCGGTTGCGCTTCCATTGCCACCAAACGCGGCACCCACAAGCCAAGAAGACGGAGAAGATGGTGACGACCGTGTCACTGCCTCATCATGTGCAGTGAAAGTGTTTTCCACGACGGATCCAGAGCCATTGGAGTCGAAAAGAGACAGATTCGGAGTCCGAGTCAGCCAAGCCAAGCCACACACAACGCACCTCGTCGTGGAGGCGAGACACAAAAGAAAAAGACCCAAGCTAAAACAATTTGAAGAAAGAAAAGCATTGTCTTCTGTGGGCCTCACGGGCCCAAAATCCCCCAAAACCTCCCAACCTCCCCCTTGGGCTGCAACAAACTAGATCAGTACATATACCCGTGTAATATAGTTGTATGTATATGGTATACACACTCTGAGCCCCAAAAAGTAAACACATGAAAAGTTTCGTAATGTCAGTTGCGGGCGCGCATGCGTTGTAATCTCTCTCATTGTTTCGAAGGGTTCAAAGTTGATCAATCCGGCGGATGAGTCAGTCACCGACCGCCACAGTTTGTTTTCCCAATTGCACTTGTAATTGGCACCAATTGCGCATACAAATTAGGGCCTAATGGGAGGGCCCATGGGCTTTATAATCTACTGAAAGGTATTTACCCTATGAAGATTACTAGTTATGGGACTTGCATGATGACTGTAATGATGATCAATGTAAAAATAAATGAAGAATTCATTTCAAGATTATATTATAACCTATTTTCCATATGTTTATTTAAATACTTTAAAATATTTTTACAAATATTTTTATTACTTGATATACAAAATTCTTATAAAACATACAATTATAAAATAAGGCCTTGAATAGCCTTAAATATAACAGAAATGTTTTTCATTATTTGTAATAACTTTTGTTTTTTGAAGGAAAGCGATTTTAGTGTTAAAGGGTGTTTCCCCTTCGCAGTAACCCATCCAAAAAGTAGTTCCCTGTTGCACCTGCGCACGTGTGGCAGGTGACATCGCTTGGCTGGCTGCCGGTGTATTTCTTAGCCTCTTGCACATGACAGTTACACTAAGTAAGTGCGGTAATTTGATTTGACAAATTGTTTGCTTGCACTTAGCAAACGCAATTCGGCGACATATTTTGCAATTTATCAAAAATTTTTGCGAGTAAAAAGCGGAAGAGTAGTCCGTTATGGATTGCCAAACGCTGGCATTTCTGTTTTTCGCCCGTTTATTGCCAGTTGAATGTACCACTTCGAAGATTTACATAACCCCCGATTTCGGGGGGAGAAAGTCGAGCATTCTGCACTTCTTCTGGCCGAAAATGGAGAAAAGGGACGGGACGGTGCCGCTTTCTGCGTTTCCATCTGAGGTTGATTTTTATTTTTTGTTGACTCCAACTTGAAGTTGGGAGGCACACTGCCGATAGAGCCGAACCGAACCGGCAACGATTACGGGCATGTAATTAAGGGTAACTATCGCACAAATGGTTCTCGAATGCGACGGAGCACATCCGCATGGCACTGCATCGCATCGCTTGCTGCTCCAGTTTCCAAATGTCAAGCAAGGGACACGAAATGGGGCCAGTACTGGATGCACTTTGGGATGCAGACCCGATTAAGTGGGTTCCGAAAACAAACAATGGCAGACCATCAACGATCTAGACACTTTTAACCGGGAACCTTAAAGACAAACTATTGTCTTTGTTTCTTGAATTTTTTTAAAATTAATTTTAGCCTATTTAAAGTGAATACCTTAAGATTGATTTACATGGTATACTCGGTTGAACAGGAACTAAAAAGAATAGTTCAAAACATTAAAACCATCGAAAACATATAAGATCATTAATATCCTATGCTAGTTTTTGGTATTTTTTTGAGGTTATGTAAAAAGAATTGTTCTAGATTGGTTTTATGGGAATATTTAAAAAATTTTCTTGGTAATTTCCTGAGAAACAGATCTTATGCTGGAGTTTTAAAGAATTATTCTGACTTGTTTCTTAATGGGCAATACTAAAGATCTTTCCCTAGTATAATGCACACCCACATACTTGAGCTAGAGGCTAGATTGACAACGAATTTCCCCCATGACAAGAAAAAGTGAAATCCCTGCCGGCTTTAATGAGCCCCACGAGCAGGGTGATATGATAACCCGGAGAGAGCGAGAGTGCGACCATAAAGAAAGGTTAACCTCGGCGCAGCGCTCATTAAATGTACAAGTGTCAATAAACCGTAGTTGGAGTTGGTAGCTAGCCATATACCCATACACTAGCCACATATCATATCATGTCCAGTTCCAGAGTTTCAGCAGTTGTCGCCGACAATGGCTCATTACTTAATGGCCGAGAACAAGAGAACCGGGCCAATTGACACCCGGCAAAAGCAAAACCAAAGAAGCTGTTAAACTAATTGCCACAACTTCCACTTGACTATGTCAATGTGACGAGTTGGCCCTTGCCATTCCATTGTGGACACTCCAGTCCATTGTCTCTGCAACCTGTTAGCAGCGGGTGGCAGTTGGGTCGCCCAGCAGGTGGCTTTAAAGTGCGGCTGGCTTAAAGGGCTAGCAGGAAGGCAACCCCCAGAAATCCCCCAAAAAAACATGGCAAATTGACAACTAATTTGGCCGAGACGAAGTCGAAATCGAAGTCCCTGCCGAAAAGCCAGACTCATGACAATTTCCTGGCGCGCCCTGTCTCATTTCCTTCTTCCGCAGAGCGACTACGGCGAGGCCAAGACGCACTTGGAGCAGCTGCAGCAGACGCTCACGCACCTGGACCACCCGCACCACCACCACCTGGGCCTCTACCATGGCGCCCTGCCCAGCACATCCACCATCACCACCGACTCGGTGGTTTCCTGTGTGAGCTCCACACTGCCGGCGGTGGCCAAGGCCATTTCCGCGTCCTCCAGCTGCGATGGTCTGCAGGCGGAGCGCAAGAAGTGCCACACCAGCGATCTGGATCATGGTCATGGCCTCATGGAGCCATTTGTATTGGCCAGAAGACGTCGCCGGTTCCGCCAGTGCCGCCACCACCTTGCTGCTTGGCCCTGGGCGAAGGACCCTCCTCGCCGAATCCCATCGCCACGGCCGCCCTGATGAACGCCTCCTCCGGATCCTCCAGCTCGGGCGGAGCAAGTGCCTCTCTCTGCAACGGTCTGTATGGCTTATTGGTGCCTATTTTAAAATAATTAACTATGGTGAAATTATATTTTTTTAGATAAGATATAAAATATAACATATAATTTGTTTAATTCTGGCAAAAAAAAAACCATATTTATAATAACACTCTTTTTGAAAGATGCACTTGTTTTATTGACATTTCAGTATCCTGATATCATGTTAGTAACTGAAGGACCCTTTTTAAAATTTGTAATTTTGGCTTAACATCCTCAAAAGCTTTGATTGTCTAAAGGATACCATAGATGTAATAGGTTCTTTATTATTTTTATAATCTTAAATTGTTATTTATTATCTATATATAAAAAACCATGAGTAAATTGTTTCCAGTATTTAAGTAGCCTATCTACTAAACCGATATCTTAAGAAACTGGGGAACCCATTCTTAGAATTTCTCATTGTAAATTTGAAAATTGTAAACCATCTTAAGTTTTTAGTAACAAATTGTTAGCTCAAAATCCTGGTTTTCCATAGCATGATTTTTCACGAACTTATTCTGCCTTTATCCTCTCGCTCTGCAGATCTCACGCGGGAGTCCTCCTGGTACGCCCACCACCATCATCACCACCACCACCATCACCACCAGTTGGCCGACGAGCTGGTCATGTATGCCACGCCCACGCCCGCGCCGGCCATCGGGAAGTTCGGACTGGACACCTCCACCGAGGGTTACCTGAACGCAAGGTACAATGGTAAGCGTCCTCGTCCACGTCCACTGTCAAGTCCGGATGCAGCCTGCCTCTGCTTCTGCTCCTCCTTGCCCTCATCCTGATCCCACGACCAACTCCACCCCACTGTATCCACTTTCTGTTTGCTTTTGCTATTTACACGTTCGCTTGTTTATTAATTTTCCATTATGAGTTCAGAAAAGTAAGTGGGGGTGCTTCGGGTTGGATAGGAAATGGTTCCCAAGGAATGGGCTTGGATTCCGGGCTGCTTGCCCTTTGCCGCCCGAAGGCTTTGCCTCGGCTTAGATTGTTTTTTTAAGTTTTTTATTAAGAAAACATGACTGAAGTTGCCACGTGCCGGCCCCAAGAAGATAAATATATTTGACTAGAGTCAAAAATATCAAGCTAATCGTTAAAAAATTATACTTTTCCTAACTTTTCTTGATATAAACCAGTTTAGTTAGATATGGATTGATTTAAGGAAAGGATTGATATTACCATATTATTTTTCAAGAGTTTTAAGGTAACAATTATTTCCGGTCTTTAAGTTTTGGGCACCTGTTTTCTTCAGTCCTCTTTAATCCCCAGACCCTTACTCCACTTTAGTTATCTAGTCTTGAACTTTAGCTGACACTCGATTATGGGCAAGTCAAGTGCATGTGACAAGCTCGATTTGTGGCCTCAAAGGCATCCCATTGCGAGCGTTAATATGAAATATTATCTAACAAAAGTCGAGGCCACCTGCTTGACTAAGAGATGTTTCTTCTTTTTTTATCGAGGGGGAGCTTCATCTATGAGTTGGAAAAAGTAACCTCAACTTGTTCTTTATTTTTACCTTCCATTTCTCGGGCACCGCATCTGCAGTGAATGTCAAAGGCGTGCGTCATGAAAGAACATCGACTTTCTTTGACATACCCGCTGTGACGCACCCACACTCGCATCCGCATCCACATCCGCATCCGCACCCGTACTGCTACAGGTAAGAAGAGGAAGAAATCTGGGATTGAACTTTACGCTGACAAGACAAGTCAACTTTAAGTCAATCAGCCGAGTCGCTCGAATCATTCGCCTCCTATGTATAGTATATATATATTTTTGATTTATGCTCCATCCAGATTTCCATCATCGCCACCCGCGGGCATTCTGAAAAAGAGCGACGAAGGTAAGTCTCCCTAGGATTTGAGAAAAATGAAAAGAAAATGATTAAAGCCGTGCGTTCGCTCATCATTTATTCAAATTATCGTGCGCGATATGCATACCTATCGGTGGGTAATTCAATTCCGCTGCCTCTTCTTAGTGGCTCCCAATATTTTTTCAAATAAAATGCAAGAAATCGCGCGCATAATTTACAATAACAATATCGCCGGTGTTAGTAACCGCTAATCCAATTGGCGGCGGCACAAGCGTGCAATTCGATTTCAAGGGGCAGATATACATAGTTGGCCTCCGGTGGGCGTGGCCGGGTGCGTGGGCTGAATCCGCCGCCCAGCGAACAAACAGCTCAATCACGGGGTCGCCGTTGAGTGGTTTGTGTTAGCTACACCACCCATCCCAAAAAACCATCCCCCCACCCGCTACACAAAAAAAACTGGGAAATTTAACAATTTCAAAAAATAGGGGATACATATTTTTTCTGACTTAGGAAGAACCACAGAAACCAATTTGTGCAAGAACTTTAAAACGTTTTAAGATAAAAAGGTATATATATAATCCTTAAGAAGTAATTTAGGATCTTTAACGCCAGGCATCTTCAGAATAATTTATTCAATAAAAAAAACAATAATTAATTTGATATTCAATCATAGAAATAGAACTATTTTTTTTTAATGATATTTTTTAGAAAAGTTACTATATAGTATATAGAAGTGTTCTAATAACCAAATAATGGTAGTAAATAAATATTCACTAAAAGAATTATCAACTCATTCTGGTAAGAATTAAAAGAGTTTTCGATCAAACATTATTTCTTCACTCAAAGACAGATACTATTTAAAGAGTCCATGAAATAGTGATTACTATTACTAAAAAAATTAGTAAATATTTTTGTAAGTGTAGTGCAATGGCCTACCCACCTTCACTACCAACCACCCAACCCCCACCCTTGGGCAGCAGGGCCAACAGGTCTTCGTTTTCCATCAGCAGCAGCTCGTTTGTTGATATCGACAATGATGTTTTTACTTGTCGACACTTGCTCATGGATTATGCAAAGGTATCTCCTGAATTTTTAATGCGCCCAGCGTCGAGTCGCGACGAGGTTGGTCGAGGGAGGATGGATGTGGGGTGGGCAGGACCGGGAGTTGTAGAGTCACTACCTAATGAAAAGGGCAAACTCGAGTGGTGCTAAGAGTGGGGTGTCTGCGCCCCCGTTAAATTGCAGCATATTGAGCATTTTGCAGCGACTGACGGAGTGGGTTGCTTAAATAATTAATTGCTGCTAAATACCCTGGCCATTTAGAAAAGGCCAGAGCCACCCAAACAAAGCAAAACAATGTAAAAGAGTTTTTAATGGCAATAGAGAAGGTGGCATGCCCTTTAATAAGGAATTTGTTTAGCAATTTATCAAAATTATCTTGGATAATGTGGAATTATATCCGCAATACAACGACTAGGAGTCGAATCAAGGAGAATATATATTTTTACAGTTCCTTCTTTTCAATTTTGTTAATAAGAATCCATGATTTATGGTTAAACCAAAACCAAAGTGATAAGGCTTAAGTCTAAATCATAATCAAATCGACAACAAAGCAGCACAGCATAGAAAATACTCTGTCTTTCTGTGACAATCACTGCTCCAATTCCATACAACCCTCCTTCACAAAGGGTATTCGAAATACCCATGTAATTAGCGCCCATTCCCTCGACCCCGGGACATTGCTCAAACGTGCATGAAAGCGGCTTTCACTCAGCTCCTGCTCCTGAACTCCTTTTTCCAATTTCGAATCCTTTTTTTCAGACACAGCCTCGGCAGCCGCTGCTGCTGCCGCCGCCGCCGCTGCAGCCGCAGCAGTCTACTGCAGCGACGTGTCCTCCGGCCAGCACTTCCAGCACCACACGAAGATCGAGGACGCGGACTCCACCACAACGGCGGCCCAGCAGCAACATCAGCAGCAGCAGCAGCAACAGCAACAGCAGCAACATCAGCAGCAACAACAGCAACACCAACAGCAGCAGCAACAGCAACACCACCAGCAGCAACTGCAACATGTGACCGCACTGCATCCAAACCACCATCATCACCATGGACACCACCACCAGCAGACGGAGCAGCAGGCCCTCACCCACTTGACACCGCTCCATGCCGCCTCCGCCTTCAAGTTTAGTCACACGGCGGTCATCTCCAGTTCGGCGGTATATGCCACGCCCTCGCACTACGCCCACCAGCAGCAGACGCAGTCGCAGTCCGTCTACCGGGATCTTTCGCCCACCACCTTGGCGGCGGTCAGCGATGCGGACCTGAAGTACGACAGTGGTCCCTACAACGCCACCATCTCGTCCACCTATCCCTCTGCCCTGCGGCCCAATGTGGTGGACTCCACCACCTCCAGCGATGCGGAACTGCGTCTGGATCAGTTTTACGCCAGCAATGGCATCTCCACCAGCAGCAACGGCCAGACGATCAGCCAGCGGAGGGGCTCCCTGCAGCTCTGGCAGTTCTGGTGGCCCTCCTGGATGAACCCACCACCAGGTGAGTCTTTGGTTAGAACTGTATATGAGGACTAGGATTGAACTATATATATCTTAAGATTAAGCCTCATCTATCAGAAAATCTCATAAATCCATTTTTTTAATCGGGGTCACCAACTATGATTTCTTATAAATAATATTTCTTCCAGTGCCAGCTGCATCGCCTGGACCGGCCGGGGCATGGAGTTCAAGCTGATCGAGCCGGAGGAGGTGGCCCGACGTTGGGGTCTCCAGAAGAACCGCCCGGCCATGAACTACGACAAGTTGTCCCGGAGTCTGCGCTACTACTACGAGAAGGGCATCATGCAGAAGGTCAACGGAGAGCGCTACGTCTATCGGTTCGTCTGCGATCCGGACGCCCTGTTCAACATGGCCTATGGCCACCTGACCGCCGCATCCGGTTCCGGAAAGGGTGACCAGCATTTGACCCTGTCGCTGGCCAAGACGCCTCCAACTTCCGGCGACTCCCAGACGCAATCCCCTCGCGTGGCCAAGTCGGAGTATTACGATACCGCCGGATTGCATAAATATTAGCTAGATAGTCTGTGTGCGTTTGTGTGTATCCATATGTGGGCGGAGCGTGGGAATGCGGCCGAGTGGGCGTGGCCGAGTCCCGTGTACATTGTGTAATCTAGTTGGCGTGTGTATGTGCGTGGGGTCACGAATTCGAAATGAAGGTTTCGTTATGATGAGCTGGGTTTGGTAATTCTCGGATGTACAGGGGCACAAAAGCGAAATTTTCAACTATTCTAGGTCACCAATTACTACTTAAAGTTTAGTTATTAATATTCTTTAGAGAAATTAAAAAAAGTTTTAATAGTATACCCACATAACAGCACAATACCAGATGGTTTCATAATTTTATTTTTGTTCAAGTAAAGTGCCCCTCTCTTAAGTTTTTGACTGAAAGTAGCATACATAGTTATTGATTTCAAAGACTAGGCTCATCAAAACGACACAAACGAATGGTATTATACAATATTTACATATATCGTACGTACATACACGCCTATGTATACATACATAATACATAACAATATGTGTATATACTAAATAGAGGGGGATATACCAAAGAAACATCTATGTGTCCACCACTTATCGTAGTTCTGCGTTGAGGTTGAGTTACTTAATAAACTATTAAACCTGTTTTCGATTTCCAAGCCCATATAATTTGGCAGTTTAGGAATCGGTTCTATAAGATTAGGCATCATACCAAAATTGTTAACTTTAAATTCCGCCAAATTGTATAGGTTGGAAACCGGAAACAGGTCTGTATGAACCGTTTCTGTTCGTTAATCAAATGGCAGCAGAGTGTTATTAATGAACTGCGACTCACTCCTCCCTCTTCTTCTTCTTCTTGGGCTTATCCTCCTCATCGGAATCCTGGCTAGTACTGCTGGAAGCACTGCTGCTGCTATCCTGCTTGCGCTTCTCCGGGGCCTTCTTGGCCAGCTTTTCGATGTACTGCTTGAGCTTATCCGGCTGCGGACTGTATGCCCAGTGTATCAACTGCAGGTGAAGATCGGTAGGTGCCCCAGATTCCGCATCGAAGAGCTTGGCATCCTCGCTCTTGATCTGCTCCAGCAACTTGGCCAATTGGCGATTCCGGACAATGTCCCAGCTGGTCTTGTCATCCTCTTTGGGGAACATGGTGCGCAGGTGCTTGTAGTTTCCCTTGGCCTTGGAGCCGCCATAAGCTTCCAGGAACTCGCTGGCCAAACCTTCCTTGGGATCCGGCAGCTTGGTGACCACGGCGAGTGGCAAATAGGCACGGTTCTCCTTGATGCGATTTTCGGCCTCGAACTTATCCAGGAAATCTTCCAGCACTTGGACACCCTCCTTGATGGCCTTGATCTTGTCCTCATTTTTGTGCCGGACAATACACGCTTGGAGCTGCCAATCAACCCCTTTATGGCCAACCTCTGGTAGTCCGGATCTCGCTCCGCCAAAATGCTGCAATGCGAGATGCATATAGAATTATTTCGGATACAGGCAAACTGTGGAATGTGGCGATATACATGTGTAAATATTAGGGTGGATCTATTTTTTAAGACATTAGTCATGGTCATATGGCCCAGTATCGGGTCATATTAACCATCTTCGGTAGACAGAAAGAAGTTTTCGAGTGATGTAACAGAATTCTTAAACATTCAATATTCGATTGTTTCCGGTTTCTATTTATAAAGATTTGATAAGTTTATAAATAGTTTCTAGAAAAATTTTCATATAATATGCATCAATATCTCCAGAATGAAAGAAATAGAGTTGGCAGGAACTGTAAGATTTTTAAGTATTGCATAGATCCTAAGGTATTGATCCATTATTTTTATATAGACAAAGCTTAATTTCCACCCTAATTTCTTAATCGATCCACCCTAACATACATCAATGCAGAGAGCTGGGAATAGGAAGAGCGTAGTGCTTGCTCTAACAATTAATGAGACTTCCGAGTTCGACACTCTAAAACTGTGCCATGACATCATTTGATGTCGTCGCTGGTTGCCTGGGCTGAAGGTCTCCGGCTCATTAGCATGCCAGCGAAGATGACCTGGTCACTTACCTCAGCGTGGCCTCCGCAGCGGCCTTGTCCTTGAATCCCAGTCCTGGCACTGTCTCCACCTTGTCCTCGCTATCGGTCTTGGCATTCTTGCTGGAAGCCCCTCCACCATTCTCCTCCAGCCATTTCTCAAAGACTCCAATGGCCGCATTAATGTTCTTCAGCTTCTCTTCAGCTTTGGTCACTGGGATAAAAGGATTATTGGAGAACGAAGGATCATCTTTTTTAAAGAACTCACTGGATAGGACTCTTTTGGCCCTGCCGAGCAAGCCACGCACTGTCAGCTTGCGATACTGCATGTCGTGGTCCTCCAGCAACTTCAAAGTCTCCAGGCCTTCTCCATATCCTTGAAGCCAAACTTGGATTCACCCTCCGCCATGATGCTCCTTTGGTTTCTAATACTTGGTATCTGATATATCTGATAAATAGCGTCTGCAATGTGCAAGCGCCAGAATACGACTGATTTTGCGTGGCCAGAGTTCCGAACTCGATGGCATATGGAATTTAATTATAGGAGGGCGAAAAATGAGCGCCACTGAGAGGCACTGAGCACCGCTGAGCAGGGCCAATTAGATAAGCACCACAAAATAACTGGGTGACTCTATGCATGGGAACCGGTTTGTTGTCGTATTGGAGGAGCAAAACAAAACCCACGAAAAATAAACGAGACCTAGCGTTGCCATGACGTCACCGCCATGAGAAACTGATAACAAACAACATATGTATGCGAACACAGGGGCGGTTATGCGACATTGAACGGGAATAAACGATCTGGAATTATAAATACTTAATTGTTGTGCCAGAAACAGACAATTATAATATTTGTATGTCTTAGAGCTTGGGATCCAGAGATGATACATTTTGATTGCGTTTAAAGATCTTATTTACTTGTTAATGGCTATCAAACTGAATTGATTAACTTAACTATATTAACAAACAAATGCGAGTCTGAGGCCTTAACATAATTTATTGGCAATTCGAAAAGCGAAAACCCTGCCCAATTGATAGAAACATGGGTTATTATTGTTTTTGTTGTATATTAACATGGAACTCGAAACGCTTTGGGCTTAGAGGATTACGTTTGGCTAGTTGCAGCTTCGCCGTATTTGGAGTACATCGTCGACCATGAAGTTGCGCAGGTGGCACAGTGCCTGCACCACGTTGCCCTGGTCGCGAAGGTTCGGTCCGATCCATTGCTCGGGTAGCGGCGCCTTGGCCACCACTTGTGCCGGAGTGACGTGCGTCAGTGCCCGCCGCCAGTTGTTATTGCAGGTGGCCACGTTCAGGTGGCTGCCCGTCTGCAGGCTCTCGATGTACTTAATGTACGCCTCCGAGTGGATGACGCGAGTGGTGCGCGGTGGCACGGTGACGAATAGCGGCTCAGGCGGCGGTCCCAGGACGATCGTTTGCTGTTGCTGTTGCAGCTGCTGCAGTTGGTGCACGTTCTGCTGTTGTTGTTGCTGCTGCAGCTGGACTGCCTCGAGATTGCTGGGAGCACGCGGCGATTGGGCAAGGCTGGGCGGGATCGGAACCGTTGTGGCCAGTTGCGCATGCTTCTGGCGACGCGACACAAAATTCTTGCTGCGGTCTGCCACCGCTATTGACTTGCCGCACTTGCTAAGATGAACTTCGCGCACGTGCTTGATGAGGCGCAGAACATTGGGGAAGGCCTGGGTGGACTTCTTAATCCGTGGGCAGTTGCGCCAGAGGCAGACATACTCCATCTCCACGCCCGCTTGTGGATGCCGCTGAATGTGCCCGGTGGCATCGGACATGCAATGTTCCGTGCAGTCGCCCAGCTCCTCAAACTGAAAGTCACACTTGTCCCACTGACACTCAAAGGTGAGCACCTGACCGAACGTCTCCGGCGCCACTTGGGGCGAGGGACTGGCGCTGTTCTGTGCGTCGTCCATCTCGCGGCGCAAGGCCGCCGTCTCCTCGTTCTGCCGGCTGGCCCGATCCTCCCAGCTCTGCTTGACGCTGGAAGGGAGATTCTTCCACTCGGTGCCCACCATGCGGGATATGTCGCCAAAGGTGGCGTCCGGATTGCTCTGGCAAATGCCTTTAATCAAAAAATGTTAAATTAATTTACATTCTATAAAGTAAATAAAATCGTATATTACCTTTCCGGACTTCACTGGAGTAAAGAATGTAGCCGGTAAGACATTTCTTGGCCGATTTGGCGGCCTTAACTTTGGAGGTTAGTGGCGTGGAGTTCACCGAAGGAGCTGGCGAGGACATGGCCGCAATGTCGGAGCTAAGCGAGGGGGTATCCCCATCCATTGAATCTTCCAGCATGCCCAGCTCATTTATCTCGTTTTTAACATCCTTAGAGGGCTTAATAGGCGTCTTAAAGTAGAAAATCTCATCCTCGGTAACGGCAGGACTGTGCTGGAACTTGCGCATGTTTCCAGCAACCAACTTGCGGAGAGCCTTCTTCAGCTCATCGTAGACGGACTCACAAATGTACACATCGCTCTCCTGTATCTCCGTGGGTCGAGAGCTGATAAATTCGGCGTACTCGAGGACGGCACATCTACCCACGATGCCCACCACAGGACTAACCTCCTCGACGGTGCTTAGCAACAGTTCTTGGCGGAAGAATTGCTTGCCCAAGCCGGGAGTCGTTTCGCTGGGAGGCAGCAGCCATGGACCTTTAAAGTATGATTTTCCATTTTGCTCCCAAATCTGCTGCACCTGGGCCACCGACTGCTTTCCGGTTTGCGTGGCCACGTATACAAAGTCTCCAGTTTTGATTGCCCCACTGCAGATTGTATTGTACTGCTGATAGTATGTGCTGCTGCTCTCAGCATTTGGCGGCGGATCGCAAGACACATTTGGTTTCTCCTTCTCGACCATCGTCTCTTGGAGCTTGAGCTCCTCCAATTCTCCTTTGTGCTTCTCCAAGCGCTCCTTAAAGACGGACATCACTCGCTTTAGCTCCAATGGCTGCTCACGTGGGACGAATTTCACGGAGCTGCCTTCACGTACCGGCGGCCAGTTCTTGAGCTTCTTGAAACAACGACCCTGGATGTTGTAGCGAGACTCGCAAACGAAGACATCTTTTTCGGGTAGGTTTTCCGGGCGCATTTTTATGTAATCCCTTATGTTCATCACATAGCACATGCCCAGCACCTTATCCATCGAAATGGTCTGTGAAAGGCTGCTCTTAAACACCTCCTTCTCGAGGAACTTGCGAGTGGTCACATGATACGTTTCGTGCGGCCGCACGAAGATCGAAGCCTGCATTAGCTTCTCGTTGGTAGGTGATGTCCACAGGCGCTCAATGCAGCATATCGAGGGAATCTTGTTTTCTGGCATTTGCACATACACGTAATCGCCGGGGGAAAATACCTGCTGGTTTATTGTCATGCTTTCACCCTTGGCGGCGTTAAACTCGTCTTTTTCTTTGTCCTGTTCTTGGTCCTGCTCCTCCTGCTGCAACTTTTGCTGACGACTCACCTCCACATCAGCCAGGAGACGCTCAAGGGTAAAACTTAGAGCTGCTGAGCTGAGAGTGTCCTTGCATAACTCGTCGCGCTTGCGGATAAAGTAAGTCTGCAGCTCAATGGAGTCCTGAAAGAATAAGTTTGATGATTGTTCAACAAATCTCTATTTACAAAAGATTATTCGGCTACCCACCTGAAAAATATCTGAATCTGTACGCGACAACTTTCTTGCTCGCTCCAAACAGGCAAATATATCCTCCTGGTATATATCAAGTCGCTTGTAAGCTCCTTTGTCCAGCCTTCGCTTCACCAGATCCAGTGAAATGCCGCGCACCTTAGGACCTTCACCTATCTCATCGTACTCAGGCAGTTCAGCCAGGGAGTCCGAGTAGCAACGACCCTCCTCGTCCTGGTGATTGTAAAGAGTGGTGAACAGAGAAAGAAACAGCTCCTGAACAGCCAGCGGAACATCTGGAAGTGAGTCGCGCTCGGTGCGCAGTTGTTGCTTCAGCTGCAGCGTCAATTGCTGTAGCACCAGTGCGTCTTTGTAGATCTGCGAGTCCGGTTCGTTGTACTTGCAGGCATTTTCCAGCATTAGGAGGAAATCTGCAGCCAAGTCGTCTAAGCTTTCGTAAGCTCCCTGTTTCAGTTTCTGAGCAATTCGATCCATATCAATCGGCTCCTTAATGATGTCATAGTAGTCCGGATACTCGTTCTTCGACGGCAATTTCGTAAAGATGAGTGATAGCTGCCTTTTGCCCTTGGGCTCCTGGTACTCCTTTACTGATTCGTAAACTGCCACAAGCGCTCCGTGATCAGAGCGGTCTTTAGTTTCCTGCCCACCTTGCTGTACTTCTGCGAGGTTTCTTGACATCCGACAGACCAGGAAACTCCTTAAGCTTTTCGTTAGGGCTCGTTCCAGGATGTTGGCATCCTCGTATATGTTAGAGCCTTCCTCATTATACTGCCGACAGTTGGAGAACATTAGCCTATAGTCGGACACCACATCCTCCACAGCGGCATAGCGATCGGTCGGATGTTGTGCTCAATGGTGTTCATGTCAATGGGATTCTGAATGATATCGTAGTAGTCCGGATAAATCTTTCGCGGTGGCTTCTCCATAAACATCTCGATTGGCCGACGGTTGCCCAAAGAGTAGTCCACCAGATATTTCTGTATGCTCAGAATTTTCTTTTTAATTGCTGCATTGATGGCAATGCGATTGGATTTGGGTGAATTCGAGTTGTTGGCGTGTGGGAAGCATTTGAGTTCGAATTGGAGTTAACACGCGGTCTGCCCGGCTTCCGCCTTTCCGGCTGCGAGCTGGTCGCAAATACCTCTGCGTCCATATCCTCCGTGTCTTCGTCATCAAGATCGCTACCCTCCTCCAGGGACTCCTCCACCAGCTTGGCATTCATTAGTTTAAGCATTTTCAGAGCATCTTTGTGCGTACGATGGGAGGGCGGAAACGCCTTTTTGGCATTGTCCAGCATGAGATAAAGGTCGGCGGTGAGATCACTGATGTTGGCATAATCGCCTTTTTCAGCTTCGTGTGTATCTGGCTCATGGATATGGGTCGTTTTATCAGCTCAAAATATTCGGGATGAAATCGACGAACTGGCAGTTTCCAAAGCGAGTTGCCCAATGGAGGTCCAGTGACTCCTGGATGTTCTGAAGTTCCTGGTGCGTTGTACAGGTGATCGAACAATGCCCACATGGGCCCTTCCCCCTTTTTGCTTGTCTCCTCGTCGTCGGAGCTGTCCACCTCTTCTTTTAGAGCTAAAAAGGAAATGTTAAAGATAAATACAAAAATAAATATTTTTCCTAATCGAAATCCTTACCAGCAATCGCCGCACTGGATAGACTCTTGACCCGTTTGGCCACTTGCCCTTGCCCGTCTCCAACTCGATACGCCGCTGCGTAAAGATTCGTTTTAGGGCCTTGGCGTCCTTGTATATCTGAGACCCTGGCTCGTTGAACAGACACGCATTCTTGGTCATCTGCAGCAGATCCCGCTCCATCTCCACCAGCGAGGAGTAGGCGTTCATTTGAATTTTGGTCGCAATCAGGCGCAGATCAATGGGATGCTCAATGACATCGTAGTAGTCGGGGTAGATCTTCTTCGAGGGCAGCAGTTGGAACATGCGGTGCATGGCCCGGTCGCCCGCAGGATCGGTGGCGGTCATAATGGAGGCAAAGAGCTCCTCGTACTGGTTGTACTCGTCATCAGCCGCTCCATCGCCGCCCGGTTCCGTGCTGCTGGTCATGCGGCGTACCTGCCGCGACATACGTCTGGCACGCGGCTCCTCCTCCGCCAAGCCGTTGGCTTCCATGATGCGCTGCCTCTGTGTCTGGATGTGCTGCCATAGGGCACGGCATCCTGGTGCTCGCAGCTGTCCGGCTTGTAGAAGCCTTAGCATTCCCAATGAGCAGCTCCAGGTCGGCCATCAGATCGTCCAGGTCGTCGTACGAGTCAGTTTTCAGCTTCTGCTGCACCTTGAGCAGATCGATGGGATTGACCACCACGTCATAATAGGAGGGCTCCTGGCGTCGCTTGGGAGCCCGGATGAAGGTGTCGCACAACATGGAGCCATCCTCCTTCTTGATATTCCTGATAGAATCGTACAACTGTTGGCAGAGTTCAGTGGGATCGAGGCGGCGCTTTTTTCGCGCCGATTGTGTCGTCGTCTGCTGAACCGGCGACTGCTCCGGCGTGGAGTCGTCCAGCTGCAGCGGATCCTCGTCCTGCCGGCTGGAGATGCTGCTCGCCCGGCGCTTGCGGCTCAGCATCGTGATAATCCTATGTTTAATTCAATTAAAAGCAAATAATTCGACAATAAGACGCCACCGAAAATGCCACCGTGCGCTGTCAGAAATATACTAATTTTTATTTTTTCAAAAATACCAAAAACAAACCAAACGGTCCTGCTAAATATATCGATTCAACATATCGATAGTTTCTACCCCGCCAAAATATCGTCCAATTTATACTAGGGTGGTGAGTTATCGCAATTAAATTTGACGGGAAAAATAAAATTTAAATGCTAAACATATTAGTAAAAATGAATTACTTTTTTAAACCAATTCTTTTCCACAACTTTCTTATGATTATTATTGTTAACCCCCAACAAATACCTCATAAATAGATTTTCTAAATTCTTTATTTATCCCTATAGCATCATTATTCTTTTAAATAAAGTCATTAAATCACAGCATTATCATAGGTGTTGCGCTTTAAACCGCAGCACATCCTCAGAGCAAAATGGCCATCAAGCCAACAGAAATAGCGAAGTCAGGCTGAAATAAAAGGGAAACGGAAAGGGAAACCTTGAATAAAAGAGTAGATAAGCTTTAGCGCGCAATTAAAAAGCCATGACATGTCGGTTAATTTAGTAAAATGCTTTGTTTATTATATTTTATCACATAAGTTTTAGACGCTTGTAAGTGTGTATTGTGTGAATATTGGGTTACAGATTTGAGTATGCATTAAAATGAAATGATAGGCGCCTCAGTCGATGCGCTACTTAAGGAACATTGTTAAAATCTTATATAAATAACTCAAAAATACATTTATAAATAGCGAAAAACATGGATGAAATGGAATTCAACACTTGACTGTGAACGACAAGAAGTTGAGTAAAATACACGAAACTCTAGCCTACGACTATTGCAAACGGTTGACTGTGGCTCATGTTGCACTATAACATTCTCTATTTACACGTTAAATATGGGCGAGAATTCTGCAAATACATATAGCTTAGTACGCGAGTGCCAAGACCTCTATAAACTGGCGAAAGGTGATATGCGGGTCCCCTTCGAGGCGAGGACTCTGTGTAAAGTACAACAATTAAGCACAACAGTTAACAGCGCAACATTTAAATATTAGTATCAGTTCTGCACAACTATACGTGATCATATAACATATGTAAAGGTATATTATATAGGTTCAGCTGCCCATCTCCCATGTTTTGCTTTTCCTCAACAGTTCATTTCGTTTGCCTTGCGACTAGCGGTGGTATTGCGAATGCGCTTACGACTAAGATTACGATACTTGGTATAGAAACTAGTTAGGCTCTTCAGCGGCGACTCGACAAGGCGTTGCACCATGTGGCGGTGTGCGCAGAACGCATTGTCATGTCGCTTGCGCCAATATCAGTTGATGAAGCTCATGTAGTTAGTAAAGAGCACATAGTTCTCCACTAACCGGGCTCTCAGCTCCCGTCGCACCGTGGCCGTGAACTTGTTGGCCAGACAGAGGGCCGTGGTGGTTCCAAAGACCAAATTGTAGAACAGCACAATCTGGAAGTTCCCAGCCATTCGATGGCCCCAAAGTCGCCCAGCAGGTCAAAATTTGTTATGCCTGAAAAGGAAGGACAATGTGGGATTTAAAATATATGAAACTCATTAGTAGCATGCTTCCTCCTACCTATGATCCTGCTGAGAAGCGGCAAGCCGAGGACAAAACCAGCATGAAGCCACAGTTTAGCATCAGCTGTGGCAGCGAGGTCTGGCGTCGCTTGGGACAGACGTTCCGCATGAAGGGCATGCTGTAGAAGCCCACCACTGAGGTGGCGCCCAAGTAAAAGATTAGACACACTTCCAGCCGGCGCCAAAGGGTCCCAGCTTCGAGAGCGATGAGATGCCCAGGGTAAATTGCTAAATAAATATAAAAATTTATTATTATTATTACAAACGCCCTAAGTTCAATCAAACCTACCCTGGTGCTTAGTGGGAGCGCCTTGATGCCTATAAGCAGCTCCAGAGTGTTCTGCACCACCAGAAGAATGGTGACTCCTGTGCAAAACAGCAGCAGCAGCATGGCCAGCGGGTAGACGAAGGTGCGTTGGAAGGTGCTCGATTTGCGCAGCTTGTCAAGTTCCTTGCGCTCGGAGTCCAGTTCTCTCAGTCTATCGTTGAGCTCACCCACGTCGCTGGCCATCGCCTTGCGCTGGTAGAGATGGGCCTGCGACTGCTGCAGGAGCGGCTGGGGGTAGAAGGTGCGCCCACGTCCGTTTCCAATGCCATTGCCCAGGCGACCACCGTTGGCGGCATCCGAGATGCTCACGTTGTGCAGCTCGATGTGGCCAGTTTTCGCTTCACACTCGCCTCCTCCATGTAGAAGGCGCTGAACTCCTCGTTGACGTCGCGCAGCAGCATGGGTCGAACCAGAACCTGGTTAACAACGCCAAACAGACGCACAAAGCCGTAGGGGGTGCAAACTGAAAAGCAAACAAGAGGGTTGTCCTGGTTACTAAGCTGACGATATAGGTGGAACTTATTTCTTACATTACAATTTGTTTACATTAAGAACTAACAACTGTATGAGAGCTTAGCATTATCGTTTTTTAATTTAATAAGTGTTTCTCATTGTGTAGTAAACATAAACTCGGTTTCTATGACATCCCAGAAACCCTAGAACTTTCCTTCTGATCTGAGCAGTCAAAACACAGTTCGTCAAGTCAGTACTGAACTATATTTGCTCCTTTCAAAACCCTAAAATGGCTAGTGAGGAAGGTAAAGACGTGGCCGAGCTTAAGGCGACTCTAAAGAGCTGCAATTTGAACGGCAATGACGCGGATGACTTTGCCGACTTCGAGGCTACTCTTGCGAAGATCGATAGCATATTGAATAACGAATCACCTACCGACGATTCAGAGGCGGCAAAAGGAGCAGATGGCAAGACCAAAGAAAAGGTCAACTTTGACAACTTGGATGTCGATAAGGTGCGTCTTAAAGTTCGCGAAAATCGCACTGTGATTAATAGGAAATCTATGGAGGAGGACAATGAGAAGCAGGCCAAGGCCATGAACCAGCAGACCTTCATGGAGCAGGTGGAGAAAGATGCAAATGATCGAGCAGAGGCTCGTGCCAAGGCCGAATACGAGGCAGAGGTCCAGAGAACGTAAGGAAAATGGCCTCCTTCAAATTACCATTTAGTAAACCTTTTTTCAGCCAGGGAAACGAAGCGTTTCGTAACCAAAAGTACGAGAAGGCAGTTCTACACTACGGCAAGGCGATAATAAAGATCAAAGATAGCGCTATTACATATAACAATCGCGCCTTGTGCTATATCAAGTAAGTTGGGATGGAATTATTAATTCTACATAGGAAATATCGTTCCCTATTATTATAAATTGCTATCACTACACTACTTCATCTTTTAGGCTCCGAAACTACAAACGCGCCCTTCAGGACTGCCAGTACGTGCTGGAGAAGCTGCAGAAGACAAATCTACGTGCCTGGCTATACCAGGCCAATGCCTACAAGTGCCTAAAACAAGACGACAAGTTCGAAGAGATGGTGGCCAAGGCACGTGAGCATAATCCCAACCAGCTGGCCTACATTGACAAGTACATCAAGCAGTTGGAAGCCGAAGTTTAATTATAATTAGTTATTTAATCATATTATACTCACTCAGCATAAGCATCACGCCCAGAAAAGAGACACACGAATAAAGGAATGGCAGGTGAACACTGCCTAAATCTGTGAAGCGTGAAGAACGGAAATTATAAATGCATTGTTCGGTAGAACCAATCCCAATTGGGGGATGGGCCTGTCACGGGCGCGGAATGACAATTGACATTGATATTGATCTTTCCGCACCCGTGGAAAATGATAATATACACTCACTTAGAAACCAAAAGAATTGAAACTTTTCAATGCCAAAGACTGCACTTAAGACAGCGGTTAGTACCAGGACAATAACGGCCATCAGCATAAATACTGTAAAGGTTTCGTAGACGCGCGGCAGAATGCCCTTCTTGTGACCCACGAACCCCGTGGATTCCGAGAACAAATAGACGAATGGCAGAAAGATGAACAGTGACAGATTGGAGAAGAGGAATACATGGTTCCAGAGGCCTGTAAAAGGGGAAAAATATATATATTAGTCGGGGTTCATTGGTAGGTAGAGTTAAAGGGGAAAATAGTCATAGTTATTATCAAGAATATTTATGACTGCAATCAGACTGCAGGAAACATAAAACATTCTTGATATTATGGATTGACCTTCCCTTTCCTTAACACTCACCCTGTATAAGCGAACTGTTGAGCCACTTCACATAGTAGCTGTTGGGATACAAGAGCAGCACCTCGTTGCTGGCGATGGAAACGGGCAGCAGCATGGCAGCCCCTTCGGCAACGGCCAGTGTGAATGTGCAAAGCCAAAAGCTGTGGGGTTGGGTAGAAATAATGCAAAAAGAAACATTTATTACTGGGAATGCAACTCGAGTGACTCGGCAATTAGCGGCACAGGGTGTTGACCACTGAATGCCTTACCTTATCCGATAGACCAGCACCTCGTCCTCGTCATTCGAATAGAGATCGTCACGGTCGCGCCGCCGAAAACGTGATACAACCACATAAGAGCTGAAGTACAGCAAGATGATCAGTAGCAGAAAAATCTGAAAAGAACCATAAAACAATTCAAGTTAGTAACGAACAAGCTTTTCGTTTCAATTTATTTGAAATGCAATCTTCAAGTTGAGGAGCACACCTGCATATTTCTCGGGGATTACCCATTTACTTGCTTAACTAAATTTATTTATTTCTTTTCCTACAACTTTTTAGTATTGTCTTACTTAGCTTCCTCTTGGGAAACTACTTTTAAAACAAAGTAAATATAGACGCATATAATTTTAGTCAACTGATGCATTGTTTTATTTTATTGTGGGTTTCATAACACATTTCCCTACGTTTTCTTGTGCTTGAACAAATGTCAAAAAGTAAACATAGACGCCCACGCATTTCTTTTGTTTTGTTTTATAAATATTTCACATTGTGGTTGCCGCCAACTGTGTGCACAGTAGCCAAAAACATTTTCAGAGGTGTTAATTTAGGAAAAATCTGTATTAATCTAGCTAAGTATATAGATTAATTATTGACACTGATATACATACATGATTCAGTCAAGTGTCAAAGTCTGGGATTTCAAGGGTTTCAGGGTCTTATCTTCAACAATATTGGCACCATGATTTGAAACTATTCTCTGTAGACGGCAAGGGTACATATGTTTTCAATTTCCGGTTGAATGTATTTTTAAAATAAGCTCTATCAAGTTCTTATCCAATTAAGATCATGCCTGTTCAAGTAGGAGACCAAAAGGTACTCATGTTTGCACAGCGTTACAACCCTATATCACCATAAGCAAAGGGTAATCGATGATTAATTATGACCGCCAATTAAGACCGAATAGCTTTTCGTCTGCGTTCAAAGGTCAGAAAAGAAAGCTTATCAGTAACTGACGACAAACCCAAAACATTTGATAAGAAATCGACCGATAGCGGTCATTTAAAGCCCAATGAAAGTCAGCACTTCGAGCACTATGTGATTATCCGTAAGCTTGATTGTTGAATGAAATCTGAGTCTGAATCTGCATCGGCGATTTTCCAAGCATTGGACCCACCAAACTTTTGGTCATCTATATTTATGACAACGAAATAGATGCCAATCACATGGCACACGTCATATTTGCGCTATTGTGGGGTATACGAAAATCGAAAACAAAACAAAGCCTAAATAGATACGAGTCTAGGCACACAAATAAATCATTAGCGAAAGATACTTTTCATGTTCTAGCTGGCGAAAAACGTAAAAAATTCGCTGAGAGCAAAAAACAATTAATTTATACTCACGTCCCTGCATTGTTTAGTTATTCTTTGTTTGTTATTCGAGATATTTTCACTTGTATCTGTGAGATACTCTTTAGCGTTATACAACGCGAATTTCAATTAACTTCTTTCTGCCTGCGTTTGATCAGATAAATTAAATCGAATTATCTTTAATTACTCGCGGCATTCGCATTTTAGGACTCCAATCTTTCATCTTGCCATTTTAAGTGGCCTTCTTAAAGCTATACATATTTTACAGTCAATATTTGAACAGTTTTCTTTGCCAGTCGACAAAAAATATGGTCAAATATTAAAAATTAAATACAGAGACGTAGATCGCTTGCTATCAACAGAGTGCGTTGTTTATTTATAGAAATCGAGTGTAGATCATGGAAAAATTTAGATACACTTGAAGGCAAAACTATAAGGTCATAGGGAAACTAACTGCAAAGACGGTTTAAAAGGTTTCAACATGTCATAAAGTAAAGAACGTTAAAATGTATTGAACCAGCAGTAGTTTCTGAACTCAGGTTTTTGTAAGATAGTATAAAAATAATCTTGATTTCACATTACTCATATACTAAATGTATGGTTATAAACGCACTGTACTTCGTAGACTGTGACGTGTTGAACTTGGAACACGTAGGCGACGAATACCAAGTGATATGAGCATATTTCCCGCAGTACACTTATACTATGTATGAACATCAGGCATTCCCCTGAATGAAAACAGATTGAGCCAGCGATCTTCAAGCTTGGTTTAGTGCTTGTCAGCCGGGTAAACGTGCAAGTGCACTCTGCAACAAGACGCATTTGTCACGCTCCAAACGATTGCGTTTGGGATTTGGGTTGGGCCAAACTAAACGATCTCTTGGCTCGGAATTAGCTGCAATGCGATCGTAGGCGAGCAGCCAGAGTCAATGACTTGACATGAACTCGAGGGGGAACCAGCACGCCCATTGAATGTCGACGACGAATTGGCTAAAAATAGCAGCAACGCCCAAAATGCAGCCAGAAGCAGGCGAAAACGGCGACATCGTGGCCAAAAGGGGGAGGGAGGATGGCCTGTCGGACGGGTTTTGGCTTGTTTTGTAGACAACTTTGCCGGTGAATGGGCTACGAAGTATTTATACTTTTTCTATACCCAATAGTTGTATCGAAAGGGGTATACATGGTATTCTGCAGGTGGCTTATAACAATTTTGCATTCCAACTTTATTAAATTAATCATATTTAATAAAATTAACCTAAATTACTCACACATTTGGTATGTCGTAATCTTATGCCATGAAAACACTGAATGTTATCCCTTCTCCAAAGCTAAAACTCCGAGTTCGAAGAAAAAACACTTTAGACGCCAGTTATGTATGAGTTGTCCCAATTGTTTTAATTACCCAAGTGAACTGTTTTTCTGTAATGGGGCGTTGGAAAATGTGGGTACTGCATCTACAGAGGTATCAACATGGCTTCGGTTACTTAAGTCTGTTTCTTAAACAGAATGTCTCCTTGTCATTAGTTTCAAAATATCTAATAGTCTAGTGTTACACAACCAGTTCTAATTTTTAGGTGGTATTTTCTAATCTCCCTTGGCTGCTTTTAGTGGTTTCAATTCGGTTTTGGCCTTTGGTTCCTGAATTATTTATGAGAGATTTGGCTAGTTTGTATTTATATATTATTTGGATTCGCATTGGGCGGGTCCCAAACGTCACGTACTTGGGAGTTTGACCCACATTCGGCGACGAATTATTCAATTTTCGGCAGCGCGATGCAACAAGAACCACTGACAAAAACCGGTTTCCACTTCCTGGACCAGGTAGAACCTGAACTACAGACCATCCACAATGTTTCTTCATACAAGAAATGTGTATTTATAGAGGTAAAAGTCATCAGAAGCATAAAAAACAACCTGCATGGGTATTGTATCTATGCAAGTTTATTTCAACCATTTCAAATGTATTTAACGCCTCGTCTTCTATTGTTTAAACAAAATCCAACAGCTGGTCACGACAGCAGACACTTTCAAAGTCCCAGACGGAACAAAGTCGTGACCACTAGCCCTGCACTTGAAATCTAGTCTGCAAATGTGGGCTATTTACCGAAATTTTCACAAAAGGAAATTAAAGCTTTGCGCAATACAATAAACATGTGTATTTATGTGGTTCGGTCTGTTGTTGTATACATAAATCTCTGGTTTCTGTTATTACACGCCCCAAAATTTCTATAAATAGGGGCTCGAGTGAAACACTTTCACTTGTTGCTTTTGCTGTTGTTGCCTTTTTGATTCAACGTTTAATTTTGATTTGCGCTCTAAGTTCTGGCATCTGAACTTTTCTGACTGTAGTGTAACTAAGGGAATTGGTATTAATTAAATGAGTTTATTGGTTATCTTATCGATTCTTTGTCTTTTGGGAACCTTTCATTTTCGTAATAGCAATCAATACATTTACTTTACCAAGAATCGAAAAGGGTAATGAGACCCTTAAAATAAATAAAGTAAGTGTTGTACCTTGCAGAATAGTATATATTTACATATGGAAATAGGAAGTTTAAGGAAAGTGAGTTTAATATTGAATTTCTACAAATCTTTATATACATCATTTCTGATTATAAATACACTTTATTTGCCAAGATTTGATTAAAACGAATAGAAGATTTCATTGGTAATTTAAAAATGCCGAATGAGTGCCCATTAGATCGTTAAAACGTTATAAACCAATCTAAACGATTAATGAAGTTAAAATACAATTTAATAAGAATATTATTAATAATAAAAGTATTATATCCCTTAAGAATTTAGATCAATCAAACTAATTAAACGAATTTCTCAACCGGATACTGTAATTGGAATAATCAATCTTTCTCCCTCAACATTTATTATCCATTATTACCGATTTTACCAAGTATCGAACCGTCGAATCTTCGATTTTGTTTAAACTTTCTGATTAACAACAGGTGTCCGTGTGGCTATCTTTTCGTGTGTCTGCGTGATAATTTTCGCAGCCCGAATAGAAAGTGCAAGAAAAGAAGAGAGTGGTCGCTACCGCCGCCACTTCCTCCCCCAATAAATATACCTATATGCATTACATACCTATATACAAAACCCAAACGCAGGCGCCGAAAATGCTGACTAGTGTAAACCGAAACCGATAAGAGAGACCATAAACAAATAAATTTCCTTGGACGTGCTTATGATTTGTGTTTATCAGAAGGCAGTGTGTGTAATTTCAGAAGTCGCACGCATTTTACCCCGCAGCCACATGTACAGTTAGAACCATAACAATAGGAACAAAAGGCAGCTGCGCCCTGATTTGTTGTTGTTTTCGGTTCGGCCAGTGGGGTGGGAAGTTGGGTGGAAAGGGGATGAAGGCATCAGAAATTAGGGAATACACTTACAATGTGCTCGCGTACTGTATTGTGGAACAACTGCAGCTTCAGATCCGTGACCTCCTCCTCCTCCTCCTCGTCCATGCCCACATAAAAAGTGGACAGTTTGTCGCTGGTAGCCAGTTTTCCTCGTTTCTTTCTAAATCACGCTTAACTTAAAAATTTAACACATATATTTTTTGACAGTCGCCAGGCCTGGGGAATTCCTATGGGCAGCCCTCAATTTCCTCTAAATAAAACGCTCCAGGGGGCTTGTATCCTGAATTAAGATCTTGTGGCGCCCACACTGCTGATTTCGCACGGTAATTGTGATCAATTTAGTTAACTATTTGCTGCCGCATTTCGTTCCGTCCCGTTTTGCACTTGCCACTAGTTTAGTTAGTTTTCTATAGTTTCTCCGCGCCGATTTGCGACCGAAGCGTTAAAAAATATTGAGTGTAGAGATGTGAAAAATGTATCAAGGTGTCAATACATCGATATTTTTAATAAAAATAAATATCGAATATTTTTTTACCCGATATATCGCAGGTATCGCTACTCTATGAAAATACTTTTGAATCCAACCCCTATGGAACACTAGACGTAGTGCCAGAAAACGTAAGTGTGAGCAAACGTAGAGCCACGTAAGTTTGTAATAGGATTATTATTTTATTTATTTAGTTTTCCGCCTAAATTTTATATTTATTTATATTTAAATAATAATCCTATTACTAACTAAGTTTTAGTTTGTACTTCATAAATATTGCCAATAAGTTGCAGCAATAAAACATTCTCAGTCTGGCAACCTCGTCCTTATCAGCTGTTACTATACAAAAATGTCCAACTTGCGGCGCCAGGTAAAATAAAACAAAAAAAGTAAGTAAATAGGTAATACCTTTCGCTTGCAGGTGCTAACTGCTTTCAAGAAGCTTCATCGCACACGGCAATACGTGTTCCAAGGGATGCCAATGCTCTGGCGGCAGGCGACTCAAAATCAACGAATCTTTCCTCCAGAATCGCAGCGAAACCAACGAGGATGAGATTCAGAAGGTTTGTTAATACTTACGGGTTTCTACTATGTTTTTTATAAAATGAAACTTGCAGATGATCAAACTGGCGCAGGATGTGGACTTGGAGCTGCGCACAAATGTGATCCAGGCCGAGAAGAAGGAGGAGGGTGTTTACGGTCAGTGGGAGCATGAGCATTACATAAACACGCGCTCCAAACTTAAATTTGGAATATACTATTTACAGAACTAAGGATAACGCCGGAGACGACGCGGCTGGACAATGTGGTCTTCAATCCCGATGCAGTCATCGAGAAGCCACGCAGGCGACGCGGCGAAAAGAACACCGAGGGCTGCTGTGGTGGAGCTGCGATGGCGGCGCTAGAATCCGAGGTCCAGGCCCGCAACAAATAGAACTATATAAATTCTTTAGCTTTAGTCAAGATCGTTTTGTTCTGATCAAGAATGTCGTTTAACTTTATTTCCTATGTTTCTTTTTGGACTTGTGACTACTTTTTGACTTGGACTTCTGCTTGGATTTCTTGCTTTTCTTGCGCTTGCTGCGCTCGTCCGATGATGAGCTGTCCTCGGAACTTTCTGAGGATGTGGAGTCCGAATCGCTCTCGGATTCCGAGGAACTTTCGCTCGAGTCTGAACTAGTGCTAGGTGCACGTTTAGATTTCTTTTTATCTTTTTTTTTGCTCTTTTCCACTGAATTTTTTCGCTTCCGTCGGGACTTTTCTTCCTTGTTCTATCGGTCCGGTCATCCCCTCGATTGCCGTCTGTAAACAGATTAATGTGTAGTTTTGGGATGGCAAACATTTAAGCTTTTAGAACATACCTTCGTTCTGGGGATCTCTTGTTGTTCCTGACTGTTTCTTTATATGGAGCACCTCCATTTTCGTGGCGCCTTCTGTCTTGGGGCGAGTCGACCCGCCTGCTATCATAGCGATCTCTGGACCTAGAACGCTTCTTTCGACTTGATCTCTTGGCCTAGAACGCCTCCTTTCGTTTGGCTCCCTTGACCTAGATCGTCTCCTATCTGTTTGATCTCTAGATATAGAACGCCTTCTTCTGCTCGGTCCCTTGACCTAGAACGAATTCTTTGCGGCAGATCCCTGGTCCTTGAAGGTCTTCTCTCGTTGCGATTCCTCTCTCTGTCATTAAAACGATTTCGATCAAAGTTCTCCCTGGCTTTGCCATTGTCGGAATGTCTAGACCTAGAGCGTCGTCGATCTTTTTGCTCCCTCGATCGTGAGCGTCTTCGCACATTCTTGCGATCATCTCGGTTGTTCTGCTCCTGGTGACGCTGCTCCCTTGCCTTTCTTCGTCTGCAGAGCCCAACCGGCTTCTAGCATCCTCCGACCTCTTGGGATCTCTGTCCTCTTTCGGCCCCGGCCGTTGTTGGGTTTTCTGCGATCGTTGTTGTCTCGTAAATTGTCAAAGTCCAGCTTGCCTCGTCGCCCACACGCCTCGTCCTTTGCCCCGCCAGGTGACCTTCGAAACGGACTGAGAGAAGTCCACATGGATGCGTCGATCGTCGATTAAACATTGTCCATTTTAAGTAAGCAGCCTCGCAAGATTTCTGATCCTCGAATTCAACAAAGGCATATTGCAGGGAGTCGCCTGTCTTGCGGTCGCGAATCACTTCGCATCCTTTGACCACGCCGAAGCGGCTGAAGATGATCTCCAGATCATCGTCGGTGGTAACCGGATTGAGTTTGCACACGAACAGAACGTTTTCTGGCGGGGCCATGTCCGCATCCGGCAGATCGCCGACAATCTCAAGGATTGTGGCTCGCGCCTTGGCCTCCCGTTCGGCCATCATTTCCTGCAGTTCCTCCATGTCATGCCATCCGTGTCGTCGATGTCCTCGTCGGCAGCTATGCGTCCGTTCTTCAGGCGCTCCGCACTGGGTGACGGCGACGACTGGGAGCCTGAAGACCGCGGGATTGGGAAAGGGATCCTCAGCACCACGTGTGCGTGATGCGAATGTCCTGGTACGGGCGGAAGTTTCGTCCACAATGGCATCGTTTAGCTTGCGCAGCACCTCGTGACCCTCCACCACCTCACCGATTACGCAGTGGTTCCCATCCAGCGAGGAAAGGTTCTCGCCCAGCGTGAAGAAGAACTGCGAGCCCACCAGATTCTTTCCGGCACTGACCAGCGATAGCATTCCGGCGCTGGAGTGGTGAATCCTCGGCAGGTACTCGGCTCGAAAAAGCGCTTGTGCATGCCTTCCACCACTCCCCAAATGGAGGAGCCGCCGTCTCCGGCGCCACTGGGATCGCCGGTTTGGGCGATGAAGCCCTGCTGCACCGTGTGAAAGAGATTGAAGTTGTAGTACTTCAGCCGGCACAGCTTCAGGAAGTTCAGGCAGGCGATGGGTCGCTCGCTGGTGAATAGGTCGACGGTCAGGTCGCCCAGTGTGGTTTCTATCACCACCGACATGGCGAGAATTCACAAATACCGGCAGAAATCAAGAATAAACAATCAATTTCCAGTACAAACACGAAATCCAACGAAGGCCTTTAGGGATGTCACTAAATCCGTTTCTAGAGGTGGGAAAAAATGCCGCAGGTAGTTCTGCTCGAAAAGTAGCTAAAATAATTATAATTATAAATTTTATTTAACTAAGTATATTGTACTATTGTTTGCTCAAAAATTACAAAAAAGTAACTGCAGTTTTTAAATTTAAAAAATTACAAAAACGACGATATATTTTATATAACCAGTAGCGCAACTCTTCGGCTAATAAAAAAGCTATACTATTTAAAAAAATTAGAACTAGCCAGCAAAATTGTAATGAAAAAAAACGATAGAAAGGAAATCGACCAATGAAAAATGCCGAAAAAAACGTTATTTTCTGCAGCCTCCAAGAACTTGGACACTTCGGCCCAAAATACTGTGGTATTCATAATACATCACCATTGAAAAGGTGAAAGATTTGAGTGTGGCATTGTAAAGGCAAAAATAGATTAAGTTTCCAGGTGATTAAAAAAAGCTACATTTCGATAATTTTATTGGAAAACAGCTAAATCTAGTCAGAAAATAGTAAACGGGCAACAGTTCAGATAACTCAGCTCTGTGGTCGCCATTTTCGATTGCTACTTCGACAATTGTGTGTGTATCACTGAATTTGACAAGAAATTTTCACACGTTTCCAGACGGGAGAAAAAGATTATTGAAATTTTTTCCCGGAACTGAAAAGCAAGCAAGTTTAAGTTAGCTATCGAGAAGTGACCCAGTGATTGTAGAGAATACATAATGCCCGAGGCAGGAAAGAAAATCGCGGAGTTGCGTGTATGCGACCTAAAAACTGAGCTGGAAAAGCGCAAATTGGAGACGGTGGGCCCAAAGGCGGTGCTCATCGAGCGCCTGGAGAAGGTAAGCCCTACATACATAAGATCAAATCACGCTCCAGTTCGCCAGAAATAGTTGTGCAATTACCGGAACCATATGTAACGAAACACTGGGTGCTCCCATTTTCTAGGCGCTCAAGGGGGAGGGGATAGACCCGGCCACCCACTTGATTGTGCCGGGCGTGAAGGGAAAGAAACCAATAGCCATGCCCATGAAAGACACCTCGTCGACGGTGCATATCAAGGAGGAGCCCATCGATGCCGACGAGGAGGTGGAACAGCAGGATGACTATGGGAACGGCAACGACTTTCCCATCACGCCGACGACGATGGGCATGAGATCGACCAGGTGGGCGATGTGGACGATGAGTGTGTGATCCTCGACGATGATGATGATGAGGAGGAGGGGGATCAAGAGTACGATGATGAGCACCAGAATGGCGATGGCGAGGCTGCGGGAGACGCCCAGGATGAAGAGGCGGAGAACAATGGCGACGAAGAGGCCAACAATGACATTAACGGTGAGGAGGAGAACACTGGAGACACCGGAAACATGGACAACGACGAGTCCATCAATCTGACCATTGGTGAGGACGAGCAGAAGCTGCTCCACGACGAGGTAATTGAAACTATTAGCCCTTCAATTGATGCATTCTAATCCAGATTTTATTATCTCAGGCCCCCGACGATAAGTCTATTAAATCTGGTGAGTCAGCAGATAGTCACAGACTAAGTATCCCATTGAACCAATCACATAACTCAAAGCCATAGAAAATTCCACTTTCGTGGCTAGAAATATCATTGTATTTGTATGCATGTATTTAATTAAGTCAATCTGGTTTCACAATCAAGATGCCTTTTGTTCCCTAACTGCAAACAAATTCAAATTCGGCTCTCGTTTCCGTCTGTGGAATTTAAATTCACGATCAATTGGCTGTTTTGAAATCGTTATGCTGTATAACTAGACTGTTTTCAGTCAAAAAAGTTTATATTCTAATATTAAGCATAATGATTTACAGTGAAACCGGCCAACAAATCCGATAAGTCTAACTCAAAGGATGCCGACAAGAAAAATGACGAGGGCGCACGCTCCAAGAAAAGGGATGACAAAACATCTGACAAAAAGGACTCTAGGTAGAGTATATAATTGTTTCTGTCGCATTATTTTTTCTTACACCTTTTTTTTATTTTTTCTTACCTTTCTGTCACTGAACACTCTCGTTTTATTATGGAAAACAGCGATCAAAAGTCGTCTGGAAAACCGTCGAATCCAAAGGATGATAAAGGTAATTTAAGTTACAGTTTTAGCATGGATAAGTTCGGTGTGTTCGGAAGGTCTTGCGTTGGGAATGATCGGACCAAGCATGAACCCAGTTGAGGTCGATAAACTTGACGAAAGTTGAGCCAAACCATTGAGGAACATGTTTCAAAGATTGTGCAAGAGAGTGTGAATTTGGTTGGGACATGGACATGGGACGTGGAGCACAAAGGATGCTAATTTTCGGCGAGGGAGCGACGATGCAGCAATCAACATCAACAACGGCAGTTTATCTAACAGTGTTTGTTCCAGTTTACTTCGAAGGAAACTTACTACTAATGCAGCAGGCGTTCTGATGTTCTCCAAGGAGCTGTTTGGCGCTGGTCTTCAAAAGGCATATGTGCAGATACTAGACCGAGGAGTCAAATCAAACCCATTAGACGGACGTGAATTTATCCGTCTGTAGTGCAACTGAAAGGACACATTCCTTTAGTGCTGCTGGGAATTGCAGATACTAATTCTTCTCGGCAGGTAACTCCTGCGTTGGGATTACATCACTCACTCCGATCCTATCTAGATGATATGCATATCTACTCTTGCGGAGGCAATGATGGCGTTTGAAGCTGTGTACTCTGGACTCTGGACCTTGACCTGGAATTCCTCTCCTACTACACCTCTCTCCTCCCTGGACATCGACGTGCTACGACGATAGATCTTCACCAGCAACCCAATCAAATTCATACTCTCTTCGCTCTGTTAGGTGACGTTTGTCGGTAACCTTGCGATTGTGCTCTAAACTCCAACATCTGCAGCAGCTACAAAATGTGTGCGTTCACAAAATGCTTCCCTTAAAAAAAACGTATCATAAACCAAAACAGTTAACCAGTTAAGCCCACTCAAAGCTCTGACCATATCTCTCTTCCAATATTATTATTTACATGGAACTTGCAGAGAAATCGACAGCAGCAGCTGGTGCCGCATCCTCAACAGCATCGAGTGCCGCTGGCAAGTCGGGATCTGGTTCGAGTGCTGGCAATGGCAGCGGTGCCAACTCGAACTCGAAGCAGGCGACGCTGTCGCGTAATCTCTGGGTTTCCGGGCTCTCAACTCTGACCCGTGCCACCGACCTCAAAGCAATCTTCTCCAAGTTTGGCAAGGTGGTTGGCGCTAAGGTGGTCACCAACACGCGTACCCCGGGCACCCGCTGTTACGGATACGTAACTATGTCCTTTTCCGGGGACGCCTCGCGATGCATCGAGAACCTGCACCGCACCGAGTTGCATGGACGCATCATTTCGGTGGAGCGCACCAAGAACGAGATTGGCGGCAGCTTGAACTCCAAGGAGGGCAAGGGCAAGACTTCGAGCGACGCTGGAAACAAGAAGAAGGACGACGACGGCGCCAAGAAATCCGGAAGCGGCAAGGGAACCAGCGCCAACGGTGGCGAAGACAAGAAGGGCGGCGATGGAAGCGTCGCCGACAACAAGTCCATCGGCGGCGATTCGAAGCGCGATGGCAAGGAGGGAACAGGGAGCGCAACCAGCGACGCGTCGATGACAGGGGCAAGTCGTCCGCCAGCCAGGATAGACCGCGTCACGATCGCGAGCGATCCGGCACTGGCGGCCACAAGGGGCCGGGCAGTCAGGACCATCGTTCGGGGCGCAATCCGCGCGACGTTGACCGTGAAATCCAGCAGCGCCAGAGGGAGCGCGAGCGTCGCCAGCGGGAGATGCTGTCCTACCAGAAGATACGTGAGGAGCGCGAACGCCAGCGCCTCCGCGAGCGAGAGCGTGAGCTACGCGAGGAGGAGCGACGCAGGCGTGAGGCGCGTGAGCGCCAGCGCATCGAGGAGGAGCGTCTCCAGGAGGAGCGGCGCAAGCTGGCCGTCGAGCGGGAACGTCTCGAACGCGAGAAGGCCGAGCTTTTGCGGTTGGAGCGCGAGCGCCAGAAGCTGGAGCGAGAGAAAATCGAGTTGGAGCGCCTCGAGCTGAAGCGACAACAGATGAAGTATGCAAAAAAAACCAAAACAGGCCGTAGTGCGTTGCCCTTGTGCCAACGCAAAGGCGACAACACAGATATACCAAAATATTTATTTTATACTCTCTCGGAAAGCATTTGTCCTTGTGATTAGTGTGTTAAGTTGCAGCATCCACGTTGTTTCTTCAACTGAAATTGCTTTTAAACGGAACGTTGATAGGCAAATGCATCCTAGTCGAAAATCTGAGTCTAATACCCCTACCCTCCGACCAGTCGTTACTAGCATTACTAATTCAACTCTTTCGTTTCTTCCATCTTTCTTCCTCACTCTTGCCGATTTCATCGGATAGGATCATGGAGTCTCGCGAAGATCCTGGCAAGCGCGGGGTGAGCAAGCGCACCGACGACCGCTACGCCGACTCCACCGATCGCAAGCGTACTGCTATTTTTGATGCCCCACCTCCACCGAGATTCGATACGAATCTAGTTAGCTCCCGCAGGTAAGATTGCGGATACAAAATAAAATCAATAATTCTTAGGTTTAAACCAAAACTTTTCTGATCTGAATACTTTTTTTACAGCACCTATGACAAGAAACATGATGATTACGGTTCGTCGTCAACCACCAAGCGTGTACTGGATGACTACTCCAGCTCCAACAAGCGCTTGGATTACAAGCGCAACGACTACAGCGCTTCTTCAGGATCCAAGCGTGGAGCTGTCGACGATTATTCCGCCGTACCTACCAAGCGCTCCAACGATTACAGCGGCTCCTCGTCCAGCAAGCGCGACGATTACAACAAGCGCGATGTTGAGGTGCGCCACTTGACACTTTCGGGAACTGCCGGCGGCGGCTCAAGCAGCTCGTATCTGCACAAGAACAACACAGCCGGCGGAGCCGGATCCTACGTTCACAAGAACAACACAAGCGGCACTGGAGGACGCTACAATGATTCGGATCGCGGAAACACATCCAGCTATAGACGCGATGACTCCCACAGCCTGTAAGTGATTGAATACCGTCATTAAACGAGCTTCGAAGTGTTCTAACGTTATTTTCTTTCTGACAATTTTAGGGGCAACAAGCGCTATGACAACTCCAGTGGCGGCGGAGGAGCCTACGGCAGTAGCTCGAACAGCGTTAACATCTGGGCCCCGTCATCCGGCGGAGGAAGCTCCCACCTGGGCAGCAGCAGTGGCGGAGGCAACCAGATGAAGTACGGCAACAACGGCTTGTCCTCGAACATCCACACCACCAATTCGTGGCAGAAATCGACCGTTGATGACAACAGCTGGCGCCAGGTGCCCGGACGCTTTGATCGCAGCTACAACGATCGTTCGACCGGCTACCAAGGCCAAAGTGGTGGCGGAGGAGCTGGCGGAATGTACGGTGCCAGCCGCCCCACCCAGGATCGCTATAGCGGACCGGTGTCGCGCTACTAGGGAACGTGCATTTCACAAGAGGCAATACAAAACATGCATCCCCGTATCATACATACCTATTTAAGCCCCCCGACGGAATGACTACCCACAGCGCCTAGGAGCGCTGCTTCTACTTTAGTTCGCTTTAGTTGTAGTTTTAACTATTAAAATTACATTTGGAAACCAATAAATGTATTACCAAAACATATGGAAAATATGCACATAATCATGGTATGTTTATGATTTATTAAACCTAAAGCTGCGGGTAGTCGCCTTCATAGGAGGATATAAGTGGAGTGGTCGTGTCCACCAGCACCAAAACGCTGTGAGCCAGTGGATATACGTCATGGACCTGGACGTAGTAACCTCGGTCGCACTGCTCTTGGAGGAATAGAGACTGTAGAGATGTGAGACTTGATATTTATATAAATATTTTTAGCGAAAGGAAAACTCACGCTAATATATCCACTGGTTCGAGTATCAACTCGGACTTGTACACCGAGGCCAGAAAGTTTGTGAAAGCCGCCGTGTTGTTGCCCAGCTCCAATTCCGTGTTGGGTGTGCACATCTCCAGTCCAATCCACAGTTGCTCGAACCAATCCCGGGCAGACCATTCGAGTGCCCCAAACGGTGATGATATTGTCTTCCGATGCGACAATGGTGCACTGGTCACTGCAGTTTGCCTTCTGAATGCGATATTTTAAACGAAACCTCTCTTTTACCAACACTGTGTTGTACAAACCACAATATATCGGGCCTTGACAGAATCCACGAGTGTGGGATGATCCACCGAGTTGCAGTGCCTGATTCCACGCTGACCCTCCGCATTTCGCCCCATGGTGTAAACATAGCCGCCCTCCACCAGGAACACCGAATGAGTGGACGAAAAGCAAGCCTGAATCACCTTATGAGGCAACTGGACTTTCTTCTGCAGGGAAGGATGTAGGTAATGGATATAGAATTTTTGATTCGGTTACGTACAAAAGCTGTGATCTTCGAAGGACGTTGGAAACCGAGTTTATTGTAGTCATTGCTGCCACAGACATGGATTTCTCCATTTGTGAACAGCACGGCGGAGGTATCGGGACCGCAGTAAATCTTTGATGGTTTGGTTTTCACATGAGACAGTAGAATCTTTTGAGGGAATTTTCTGTTAAAGGAATACAAATGTTTCAAAATATGGACTTTTATGAAAATAAAATAAAAACTTTTGGAACTAGTAAAATAATAATAAAAAATAAATAAAGCTTAAACATTTTTTTAAACTCAATCAATCAGTGGACAAGGTTAAAAATGGAATAAATTCCAACTGGCTTATGTGACGCAATAGTATTTTTCCACAATGCCTAAGTTACCATATTATCATTATCATCTCCTAGTACTCACTGTTGCTGCTGGTAATTACCCAGACCGAGGGCTCCGCAGGTACTGGTGCCCCACACGTACACCGCTCCTTCCCTGCTCAAGGCCAGGACGTGGTGGAGACCAGCGGTCAACTGCTCCACCCGCACATCCGCCAGTCGGCTGACCAGCTTGGGAGTGTGATAGTTGCGTTGCTCATCCTGCCCAGAGCCAGATTAGCATTGCTTCCGCAGCTGAGGAGACTGCCCGCTGGGTGACCAGAATGGTGAATCCGTCGCCAGCACAGGCACCCACCACATGGTAATTGCGCACACTCTCCATGCGACTGGGGTAGTGCTTCCAGGCCTCCAGGGCTGTGAGACCCAGCTGTCCGTGGCTGCCCTCACCCCACGCGTACGCAGATCCGTCCTCGTTAACCACCACGAAGTGGGAATCCGACATGGCCACGTCCACGATGACGGCCTTGGGTGGCAGCTGGATAGGCGCCATGCTGAAGCAGGTGCCGAAGGCCTTCAGCTGGTACAGCACGGATCTGCAGGTGGGCTTCTGGATTAGAGCGTCGGACTGGACTAAGCCATTACCGTTTCTCGAGATCTCGTGCGGCGCCGCCGTCTCCGCACTCATCAACTGCTTCGTCTCCGTTTGGGCGGTGGGCAATTCCAGATCCATGGACACGTTGCTGTGGGAGGTAGTGGGATCAGAAGCCGTCAGTTGGTTGCCACTGCTGCCGCCGACATCATCCTCATAGGAGTACCTGCGAGGGAGGTGGGATTAACATATATGTTATACATATACATGATAAAGTCTCAGGCATACCCTTGTTTTTTCCAAGGCTTCGGAATATCAGCGGAATCCAATAGACCAAAACCTCGGAGGCAGTGGGTCGCTTGGCAGCCTCCACCTGGAGCAGATTGGACATAAGACTACGAAGTCCCGAGGTGTAACCCGAGGGCACGGGCGTGTAGTTTCCAGCCATTATCTTGGTGACCAACTCGGAGAGGTTAGAGGCGGCGAACGTCTTCTTCAGACAGCACATCTCGCCCAGAATGCAGCCCAGGGCCCAGATGTCACTCTTGTTGTCGTACTCCTTTCCCTCACACTGAAACCCAAGGGATGTTTAGAAATAGTGGTCTTACTTCGAAAGAATCTATTACCATCTCCGGACTGAAATAGTAGGGAGTGCCCAAAACAGTCTGGGCATGAATCTTAGTGTTCATTATTTTGGAAATGCCAAAGTCCCCGATTTTACAATACCTCTCTGTTGAGGAAGACATTCGCTGTCTTTAAATCCCTGAAAGCATCGCAAGTAACTAAAAAGTTCTTTGGAGTACAAATATCGACCTTCCTACCGATGCAGGATGTTCTCCGATGCATGTAGTTAATGGCACTGGAGATCTGCTCAAATACGGCTATTATATAGCGTTCCGGAAAGTGCAACTTGCCCTGTCTCTCAGCGATGATGTGGGCTAGAGTTCCCCCATCTGCGTACTCCATCTCGATCAGGAGGTGTTGTCCTTGATGAAGCTACCGAGGTAACTGACAATATTCGGATGATGTAACTTTGAAAACACGTCCACCTCGTTCATGGCTAATCCCGACCAGGCGGCGTCAATTCACTCAGATTGATCTGCTTGAAGACGATCTGATGGCCGTCGGACTTCCGGCGATACAGGATGGCAATGCCAAAGGATCCCTGGCCCACCACCCGCACCTTTTCGTAGTTGGCCAGTTCCGGTCCAGCCACACCGATTGCCGCCTCCCGCGGAACACTGAGCTGGAGAAGGTTCTGGCTCTCCTGCCGCGAAGAGGGCACCTGGGCCTTGCTGCTGGACATCGCCTCCGCCAAGGAGGTACTGGCCGCTCCGGTGGTGCCGTCCGTAATGGTAAAAACCGTAGGCAGGACCCTGGTGCACGAGGATTGCTTCCTTAGGGAGTCTGACCCAAAGGTAACTGCAGCGAAGTGGTGGTCAGTGTGGTGGCGTCGGTTATCCGACCGTTAAAATGGGCAGGGAACTCGCCTTGGCGCGGAACTTCTTCATCTCCTTCGAGCGGACACAACCTGCGTCTTGGACGTTCAAAATCGAACCATGTCCTGTCTATTGTATAATTGTCCTTTGACATGTTCGAACCGAAGTTGTGGTCAAAGCGGTTGCTAGGTAAAGTGGGTGATGTGGCCACTGGGTGGGTGGACATGAGCTTACGTTATCAGTGGGTTCGCTAATTGAACAACCACGAGCGGGGCATATTATCATAAGCAATTGGAATGAAAATAGAAACAATATTTGCAGGGCCACAATTCCAAATAATCGATGTTAATTTCTTGGATACGGATGGAGGTCGGAAATCAGAATAAATAAGTCATTTAATATACATTGGTCAAGGGAAATTTTTTAGTAATTTAACTGAATTGTAAAACAATCCCCAATACATTGAAAACATCGGTGAACTCAAATATGTCTTTAGCAAGGAACATGTTTTTAGAGCTTTAAACTAATCTGTAACTTAACTAAATTTTCCCCCAATATTTAAAATCTTAATTTTTCTTATGAGTATAAATGTATTTAGCATTAGATTATAATTATTGGAATCGAGACAATATGCATGTATAATCGACCGTTATGTATTTGCAGGAATATGCTAAAATATTTATGCTATCTTCTCTTGGACTAAGTGTACCTTAAAATGCACAATCTGAACGCTTTACATGTGTAGAATGCAATGCAGGCAGCCCTCCAATTGGTTTGCATTTAAAACGTGGCCTATTCACGAACTTGGCTACAATGCTACGACGCTCAATAGCTTTGGACAACTTGTTCAGGTTTTGCGGTTTGCGGTTGCGATCGCATCGTAATCCATCGATGGTTATTTAGCAGGTGCAGCGATTCTCGCCGGAAAGACTGCCGAGACTGAAGGTTCCGAGGCCATTGGAGCCAGGTGATTTCTTGTCTTTGCTCTCGTCGTTGTCAAAGTTATCACCCTGTGGAATAATTGGAATAATAAATAAACAATTTTATAGGGGAAACTTTATTCCAGACAATTATAAACAATACTGAATAATAATGCTGATAAAGTGTGGGCCTTCAAGTCAACCCACCCTGTCCTATATCTATATCAAATTACTTACCCGCCGCTCCCTTTGCTCTCGGATTTTGCGGGCCAGTGACAGAAACGCGTCTTCTATATTTATGTTCGACTTGCACGACACCTCAAAGAAGGGCATATCAAAGTTTTCGGCAATCTGGAAGAGATTACGGGTGTTACTAATGTTAATTACTGGACCAGTGACTCACCTTTTCGCCCTCTCCTTGTCCACCATGCGCTGGGTGGCGGAGCATTCGCATTTGTTGCCCGCCAGCACCTTGACCACGTCCGGCGAGGCGTTCTCCTGGATGTTGCGCAACCAGTAGGACAGGTTGTTGTACTCTCCAGGTTGGTCACGTCGTACATGAGCAGGATGCCCATGGCACCTCGATAGTATGCAGTGGTTAGTGTCCGGAATCTCTCCTGGCCTGCCGTGTCCCAGATTTGCAGTTTTATGGGCACGCCATCGAGGTTAATCAGCTTCTGCTTGAAGTCTATGCCTGGGGAAGATAAAATGGGATGATAGTGGGATTTTTCACATACACGTATGCTTACAGCTGCGGTTGAAACACTAGTTCCTTGGAAGATATCATCTTTGGCAAGGATATGAAAATATGTCACCATAAAGAATAATGTAGTTTTTTAGACGAAAGGAAACCGTTTTTGTGCCACTTTTAAAAATTCCTATATGTTTTAAAAAATAATGTAAATTCTTTAGAACTATTTCTTAGGAGGTTTAATATATATATATATATATATATTACTATTTAATATTATTAGTGAATTATTTTGGATATTTTCTTTGGTTAAATAGTATTGTTACCAGCTCTCATTATGATTAATGAGTAATATATATTATTGGCAAATACTGTTTCAAAGTAATAACTTTGACTTTATTTCATACAAGTCAGAAAATGTTATTCGGTGCTGCTGTGCGCAGATTGGGAGCACTTACCTATGGTGGAGATGTATGTGTCGTAGTACTTCTCATCGCAGTATCTGTGGACGATGCAGGTCTTGCCCACATTGGAGTCGCCCAGTACCAGAACCTTATAGGTGGCCACAAAGTCCAGCGCCATGTTGACAGAGCTGGCGGATTTCGATAGGAATAGTAATATTAACTGCGGAGGTTTTTGGTTACAGATGGGCTGGCGTTGTTGTTATTGGTGGTTGGGTAGTGCAAGTGGTGGTGGTGGTGGTTCGTTTTGGCTCCGAGGGGTTGTAGCGGGCTGCAGCTTGTTTATGTATCCGCTGGCCTGGCTTGTTTGTTGCTGCTCGCAGCTGTTCCACCTCGAATTGCAGCGGCGTCACACGGATTTGTTGTAAATTTTCACAGGTTCCGCAACAAAAACAATCGGGAATTCATGCTAATTGACAAGTGGCTTCTGGCATAATTCGTACGATTTAACCTTTATTTGATTTGTTTTTTAATGTAATATATAAGTTGTTGTTAGGTGTGCATAGTGTGCCACTTTGGAGGCGGAGTCGATTACGCCGTTCGCGTGAATCAACCTCGAAGCGCTGACTGCGAAACAAATCAGCGGAGTGGAGTCAACTAATCAATAGACCTGCGCATGCGCAGCAGCAGCATTCGCCTGCCGAATAATCGAAATCGGAATTCAAATCGAGGGTGTTCGCGGGCGCTTTGTGGCTTATCAATAGTAATAATATTAAACATAGGTGTACACAATAGATATGGAGTTACATGTTCAAAAATAGAGTTGTTCCTTGCTTAACTTAGTGCGGATGGGTAGGAAGAGGATGTCGAGTCCAGAGCCGCTTACATCACAAAGACCTTTTCGACCTTGGGGTTGGAGAACTTGGTATTGGTCACCGGACAGGTCACGGTGCCGTCGTCTTTGGTGATGTCCGGCAGGGCCATCTGGCCAAAGATCTGGCCGTTGGGCAGCATCATCGGCTGATTGTGCTCGTTCAGCGGGAGACCGGTCACCCGACAGATGAGGCGGCTCTGCACGCAGTGCGAGTATGGCAACTTGAGGGCGATGCGGTTGAGATCCTCCTGGCAGACGGGACAGTTGAGGTTGCGGCACGTCTGGGCATAGCAGTGAGGCGTCTTCAGCGCCGACAAACCGGCCTGCACCGCTGCCGAGAACACGGACGTGCTGGACAGCTGGAAGAGACGGTAGTTCTCGTGACGGAAGTCCAACACCAGCTTCTGCCAGCGCTGCGGGTCCATGTACTTGCGGTAGTGGTCTGCCTGGGCATCGGCCGGATAGGCCAGCAGGGCCATCACATGGCAGATCTCGTTGAGCTGTGTCTTTTCGTAGGCGGGGAAGTACCGACGCGAGTGCTTTACTGCCTCGAAGCGCTGATTCTGACGCACTAGCTCGATGAACTCCTGCACCCGCAGGCTGAACTCGATGGTCGAGTTGATCTTACGCAGCTTGGACTTGTTGTCGATGCACCAGAGAACGCACTTGGTGGTGCTGTGACTGGCCAGGTCGTCCTCGACTTCGCGCGACGTCTGGAAGATATCCAGGTTGGTCAGGTGGCGCACATCGGACTTGGCTGCCAGCTCCTCGGCAGTTTCGTAGTAGCCCATGCGCAGCAGGTGTTCGATGACCAGGCGGTCCAGTCTGATGCGCTTCCATTGGTCCACGGATCCCTGCCACAGGTCGCCAGTCACGCTGTTCGGGGGTGTGATGCCCTTCAGGTGGTCCAGCTTGCGCTTGCAGATCTGTGTGACGCTCAGCTCGTCGTTGATGCTCTCCTCGGCCTTGCGCTTGAGCACCTGCAGTTTTGGGCCACGTTGTCCACCAGCTTGGTGACCTCGGCCAGAATTGGACCCTCCTCCGCATCAAGGGCCTTCTCCACCTGACGCGATACGTTGGTCACCTGGTCGACCTCGCGGTCGATTATCTTCTGCGCTGAGCGGAAGCGCTTGTTCAGCATCTCATATGGCACTTTCAGGGTGGCGTGCTCCAACGCCTTAATTTCCGACATTTTCGCTTTTCGGGTGCGATGCAAATTGGTTTTATCCTCTAGTTTGAGACGCAATTGCGTTTTCTTCCCTTTCCTTTCCTTGCTTTGTTTTGCTTTTGTGGATTAAGGGTTGCCAGATGGCCTGCAGTCAGCTTATCGAGCGGACAGAGTTGTTAGGTCAGCCATTTTTCCCGCTAAATATTTTAGTCTAATATTACTCATTTCTTATGTTTGTCTTAAACGAAATTGATTTACGGACCAAATTTAAAAGTTTGAGACTAATTGTGATTTTATAAATATTATACCGTATGAATAACTTGTGGTTTTTAACACTTTTCATTATTTGCATTAAAGTTTGGGTTTATTTTCCCGCTAAATTTTGTGCGACGTACTGGCAACTCCAACAAAAGTCTACACCATGTAATCACTGTTCTGTTAGCACATAACAGCTGATAGACGCCCAGTAAACATAAACAAATGTTACAAGAACTCGAAAAGTAAAACATTATAAAAAATATATACAATATTTCTATTTTTACCCAACAATACATGTTCATAAGGGTAGGTAGTAATAAAGGACTTACGTGATCGTTGAAAGAATTACTTCTTTAACAAAGTAAGCCATACTAACTTTTTACTAGTAAAAAACTTCTAAATCATAACTTAAAACTAATTCCAGATGGGTAGAGCGACTACTAGAGCGACGAGGGACACCCAAAGGCCACAACTAAGGGGACTAAGGATAACTCGAAGCGATATCGCGAGAAAATAAAAAAGGACCCGATGAAGTTTGAGGAATATCGCGCCAGAGAAGCTGAAAGAAGTCGTTTATATCGCAAGAAACTGAAGGAAGTGGTCAAAAAGAACAAAAAAGTTCTAAAAACAAAGAGAGAAACCGATCGAATTAGACAGCAAAGATATCGGGAGAAAAAGAAGGAAGAACTCGCCAATCAGAAGTCAATGGAAGAAATGGTGAAGAAAGTGGAGCGGGCGCTGCCTGCAAAAAATTCCCGAAAGATTGAAGTCATTAAAATACTGTATAGGAAATATGTTGAACCTGAAAGCCCTGAAAACTAAGACTAAACTAACATAATGCCATGATCTAGGCCATCGTAGGAGAATTACAAAAATAAATATCAAACACATAATGTCATTCTAATGACATTTAAAAAGAATTCAAATATTTACAAGTTTGAAACACTTCCAGGTGGACTGTTGGAATAAATAAGTACTTTACAAATAAATCAGACATATTTTTAAAACAAATATAAATGAAACCTAGTTGATTTTACACAAAATGGTGATTGCGTTTTGGTTCTAATGAAAATATACAAGGTTTAAGTTTCTTTAATCTTAAGTTCTTACAACTGTCTTGGATGATTCATTTTGTATGAGACGATATCGGTACACTCTAATTTCTTGTAATTAGCATTAGGCTTGGTTGGAGTTCGAGTGTTGACCTAATGTACTCCGCTTTGTAATTAATACGTCTGCTTGAAGGAAAAGTAATCACGAGTCCATTCAAAATTGCATAAAATTAACCTCCTTTTATGGTACATTGACTTTCGCCAGCGTTTAAGTTGCTTTGATTATTACTCACAGATTAGGTAGATCCAGGTTTGCCGCACAAATGTGGGTGCGAAAATTGAAAATCCATGAAGAACTGACCCATGGCATGAACCCAATGTTGGGACTTTGGTAAGTAATTTTTCATTCCCATGAACGGAAGTTACTCATTTCGAGTAAATTCGGGACACGTGCCGCGATAAAACGCGAAAACATACAAATAAACATTTTGTTGGAACTTTTTGCCTGATGGAAGGAGGAACTATTCGGCTTATAATGTTTTTGGGTGTTATCAATAATGGTTCGACTTCAAAAGTATTAAAAACTATTAGCTTATGATATTAATCATTGAGCAGATAAAACAATAACACTAATTTGTTTATTTAAGTGCAATCAATACTTAGCAGAGCGAGATCTTACAGATTACAGGCAGGTAACATTGTAAGATATCCCTAAAATTTACCAAGCCCGAACTGACTCACAAAATCATTAAAAACCCATTGCATTGGTCGCCTTCGAGGAGCAAGAGTAATTATTCGCAAAAGGTCAGGCATTTACATTGAGATTGCCCTAATGACAAACAATTGAAAATTGCATGTCCGGCCAGGAAGTCCAAGCGGGACTCGACGCCCAAGAAGGACCGGTTTCAGAAAAATTGCATTTTAATAATACATCCAGTGAGAACGCGATTAATTCAGGCAGTTTTTAATTTGAATTCCAATTAAGGAATGTCACTCAGGTCGACTGACACACACACTACCTGATCCACCTTTTTTCCAGGTCCTCCGACAAGTTCAGTGCTCTTGAGAGCACAAAAAACTTATTAGAATAACTTAGTAAGGTGCATTTAAATTGCCGTGGTTTTTGTGGTGTCAAATAGATTCCCGAGGAGAGTTCGCCTCGAGAAAGGGGGCTCAGCACTCAGTCTAATTGTGGGTCAGTTCGGGAGGTGTAACTTTTGGAGAGGCCAAGCCAAGTAGAACTCGGGGAATAAGCCGAGGGATAGCCGACCATTTTGGTGATGTCATGGATTGCGTGCAGCGGAGCCGTCATCAATGGTCGTCTCTAGGACCTGCTACTTGGGCAATTTTGTTGTAGAAGTTTTTGGCGCTTTTGGGCTACCATAAGAAATGGTCGTAACCCATAATCAGTGCGGCTTAATCGTGTTTCACCCGCGGGGAACCCACATACCTCCGTCCCAAGACTAGAGGGATCTCCATCACCCCACTGACCACATTGCATCGCTGGGCTGCATTGATTTTTTTGTAGAAGTCGGTACCTTGTTCCTGCGTTTTCGGGTTTTATGGTCACCATCTAGAACTTTCACTTTTTGATGTGCGTAAATTTGCATATTTGTCGGACGTTATACAGGGTGTGTACTGGCCTTCCTTCTCCCCCGAACTTTGGGTGAGTAATGAACAACGTCCGCTTATGATGACGCCTTGGTTAATGAGTTTTTGCCTTCGCCTTTGGATAGGTCATTGAAATCGTCATGTTTTAAGCAAAATTTAATGGGGAGACGTTGCATTTTTTCGGGTAAATATACCAGGTAATGTATACAAGAACTATATTCCTGGCTTGTTCGAAAGCTAGTTAATAGCTCATAAAATTTTTTATGATCTAGTTCATATGCATTTAAGTTTAGAAAAGAGCTATTTTCAGTTATTATGAGTAACTAGGCTTTACTGATTAAAAATTGTTTATATTTCTTTTAAAGGTTTATATTATTAGAATGCCTAAAGATCCTATTATGATGTAGACGATTTGTATCTTAAGTTTTTGGATAACTTATAATGTTAGTAATGTCAAAATTTTAATGTGAAATTACTCCCAACTCTTTGCAATCCTGAAGTGCTGTTAAAGAGGCCATAATTAAAATCCCCCCTGACGATTCAAAGCCTTAGGAAATGACGTCTTAACCTAACCACGCATGAGTTATTATAATAACTTCGTGAGCTTTAGCATTTCGCAGTTATTTTTATGTTTCCAGTTGTTTTAGTCCTGGCCAACATGACATGCGAATGTGGTTGTTCTTAGCCTAGTCGAAAGTCCCCCAAATGTGTCGCCCTTTGCTAAAATCAAGGTGTGCATTAACAAATGAACTTGAAATAAGTAATCGTTATACGGTTTGGCACACATATATTTAGCATGCATTTACCTGCATTTAGCTGGCAATGTGGAGAGTGATAAATTGGGAAAGTCATGGAAAGGTTATTTGGTCAAGACTTGGCAAAGACAAGGCTACAACAAGTAGCGGCTATCGACGCTCTCGCCTTGCAGCACATGCAACATTCGGGGGCAAGGGGTGAGGGTTGGTCCTTAAAGGACTAGGCCACCTTTTGGGGGTTCTTTGTTTTAGGGGTTAGAGGGTGTGTGCATGTCCAGGAACGCACGAAAACAAACTTGCATGCAGCGGAGTTCCAGGGGTGTGTGTGTGTTCGCAATTAGACTTGGTCATAATATGGAATTAAGTCCCTTAAATTGGCTTTTTTTCAAGAGCCTAATGCGGAATGGGGTTTTGGAGTTATAATCAGCAGAAATATGATGACCTCTAGGCATGAGTACACCCCAATGAGATTTCGTGAGAAAATTATATAGCGCTGGGCTGGTCCTAGAAATTCTACAGTCGCACTAATTAATCATCAGTTAAGACCAAAACATGACGCCCAAATTGTTGAAAGCGAATTAGTCCCTTAATTACAGTGGTCTTTTTGCTGGGCAGAGGCGGTTTCTTGGACTCTTGGGCGGAAAAACCAAGGGGCGGCGCCTCCAATTCGTTGCAGTCTCTGATTTGGTCAAAAGATTTCGTGAGTTTTCCATATAATTTTCCTGCTTGTTTTCCGTTTCTTTGCTGTGGCCAGCAACATTTATCAATAATGTCAAGAAATATATATCCGAAATAAATTTCGGTACTTGCCGGCATGGCGAACTGGATGGAGTGGCCTGCCAGCTCACCTGAATAATAATTAAAGGAATTTATTTTTACATATAAATATAAATATTTCCCATTTCGTCTGACCCGGTGCGGCAGGATTTGCGTAAATGGTAAAGTACTATGGGTAAAATAATCGTCAAGTCGTATATAATTGTAATAAAAGTTTTCAGCAGAAAAGAGCTTCATAATAAGCGGAAAAAAGTAATGGTTTGTGTGTCTTGTGTCTTATAATAAATAAGCCAGCTCAAAATGTTGTCAAAATATAGAAACAATATATGGTTATTTAGACCTCTTGTTTGTACTGCTCTTAGTTCATCAACGTTTAATAATATAAAATATTATTTTAAATTACAAGGTATCTCCTTCAGGATTAGTTAAATCCCTTCCATCGTTCTTGGACCCGAATCGTGTCCTAATTAGTTATGTCCACCGATTGTCGGAATACTTTCTGGAAAGCCTTTCCGTTCGGCGTGCGTGTTCAAAATAAATTCGCTGCGATGGCGCGCGTTTAGTTAAGGGAAAATTGTTTATGCTGTCGCAGCGATTAAAACAATCGTTTATAAGGCGATCGAGGCGGCAGATAAGGAGTACTAGTAGAGCAGTATAGCTTGACATTTTCAGCAATCGAAAAAGGTCCGAAAATAAACGATACGAAAAGAAAAGGAATTCGTGTAAGCAGATTGGGCAAGTGTTTCATGTCCAAATTGACCTCAAAGTGTTCCTCTTCGGTGTAAATTATTGACTCGGTTTTAGAGGGGCTGCAAATACACCTATGTAGGCGGTTCGTGAGACAATGGCAGACATGGCCGAAAGTTCCGCATCCGTTTCTGGCTGTTCGATATGCACCTAAATACATGGTCGCATATGTATTTGACAAATAAAAGTTAAGTATATAACTGAATTTACTTTGTAAACTATAGCATCAATGAAAGGTAATTTCAATGCCGTTTGAATGATACAATACATTTCTTTACCCATTCAGTACTTATTGAAAAGGACAAATTTGTGTAAATCAACTTTTAAATTTTTTTTTCAAACTTTTTTCCTCGTCTTGAAAACTTAAATTTTTTGATGCAAAAAGTTTCTTCAAACAAAAACAATAGTAACTGCAAAAAGAATTTTTCAAAAATCATTTTCCTTATATTTTTTATGATTTTTTGAAGGTGACAATGTCGGAAAAAGTTTGTATGAAAAAGAGAAAAATATGGCTCAAATGCCTGTTTTTAAGCATTTTCAAAAATTCATAAAAAATATAAGAAAAATGATTTTTGAAAAATTCTTTTTGCAGTTACTATTGTTTTTGTTTGAAGAAACTTTTTGCATCAAAAAATTTAAGTTTTCAAGACGAGGAAAAAAGTTTGAAAAAAAAATTTAAAAGTTGATTTACACAAATTTGTCCTTTTCAATAAGTACTGAATGGGTAAAGAAATGTATTGTTCATCAACGGCATTGAATTACTTTTGATGCTATAGTTTAAGAAGTATTCAATTATGATATTACTTTTATTTTGTCAATACTATGCCGACATGTATTATTTACCAAATTGGGCTGGGGGCGGGGTCTGCAACCTTTCTTTTTGTTTCTTTTTGGCTGCACTTGAAAGTTAAAAGTTAAGAGCAACAAGCAACCCACTCATCTGGGCAATTCAGTAAACGTAATTAGGGCCATGCACCGCCCAAAAGAAAAATAATCATAAACAACGACGGCTAAGCTAGAGAAAAAAAAAGGAAGAATAATGGCCAA